CTGAATTGATGCACATTTTGTTGATGTGTGAAACCTTACATTAAATAAAAAAGCAGCAACTACACACAGGTTAATTTTGAAAAAAAAAAAATCATGACATCCCAAAACAATTATAGAGAACTGGACTAAGCCCTTGATCTTTCCATGCCCAGCCAAGGTCCCTGCTAAGCTTAACTAAGTAGTGATTACTTAGTTAAGCATTATCAGCTAACACGCAGCAGAACACAGAGAGCAGGTACAGATTAGGTCTGATAAAGCACGTGGGTGAAGAACATTTCTTACATCTGTATGTTTGTTGATTGTTTGTATGCTTAAACACAGAACTGAATGTGCTTCCATTTATGATACTACTGATACCTACAATGCAAGTTCCACTGAAGACTTAAATGTAACTGTCAATATAATCTTGCTCAATGAAATGACCTGAAATGACCATACAAAATTTCCTCCTTCCCACATCCTGGCCTTTAAAAGAGGATTACTCTTCTATTTCACTTAAGCAGGACAGGTCACACAGCCTAGGCCTGCACTAAAAGGATTATGGGGCCTGAAGACAAGACTGGTCAATGCCTGCACAAGCAAGAAGAGAATGAAAATATTGTTATAAGGCTATACAGTTGTATGACACAAATTTAACCCCTTCCATATAACTTAAATGTTTTTGCATTCTTACAAACCAAACATCTCAGAAAGAAAAACATGCTCAGAGTAAATATGTTGTCATATATCAAATGCTCATAAAGGACCAAAACTTTCCAATTAAAATGTTTTTTTTTTCTGGAAAATCCTTTATTTGATCCACAAGCAATTACTTTAGTTTACTTCCAAAGTGTTTAATCTTATCTGCAAAGGGTTGGGGTGGCGGCAGATTTTCATTCTAAACAAGTTGGAGCACACCTGATTACACATTTAATCAATTGGTCTGTCTACAACAACTGATCATGCACACTCCTTTGATGGAATAAAAACCTGCAGCTACGCTGACGCTTTGCAGATGAGATTAGGCACTCTTGGTTTAGTTAATAGTTACTTTAAGCACACTATGTTTCAATTCCTGTAATTTAAGTTTCATTTACACACACACACACTTGAGACCCTACTTTCACCATGTTTAGCTACACAGATTGTATTTAAAAATCATTTCTACAGCCAAGTTTTGGTCAGATCCCTCAACAGCCTCCAGCAGTGATTCAGTTTAAGTTAAATGAGCACATATGGTGCAGAAACAGAAGAAACACAACCAATCTCTTAAGACAGGAATCGATACACACAAGACACAGTCTGCTTTTCCAAGAACTACCAGACTGAATCTGTAGAGTAGAACGTGAAAACACGCAAGATAACCTGTACCAGACTAGTCTAGACTCAGCTCAGGCACAAATTACTATACCAACCTTGACTCTGGAGAACTGCTTTCCTGCAAATACAGTCACGTCACACTTGCTCTAGCCAACTAATCTCTGCAAAAAGCCTCAAGCTGGATCAGGAGCATTAATATTGGCTGAAAAACAGATGGAGGTCTGTCTCCAGTCCTGCAAATAACACTTTCAACAAACCAAATTAGCAAACACTTAGCAATATAGGTCATGTGAAAAATGCCCACCCTTACTAAAAAGAAAGCACTTTGGACAAGGGCAAAAAAGTGGCCAAAACAAACCATAAGCCACAATTCTGAACAACTTGCTTTTTTATTTTAAGTGCATGTCACACTAAAGATGCTGGGATTGGGGATGAGTTAACCTCAGAATCTAGGACCACTTTGAGCCATAACTTCTAAACGGCACTGCATTCAAATCATTCTCCAACTGTCACACAAATCTGCCCATTTTATTCATAACTCCAAAGGACAGATTAAAGAATTAAAGATGCTGATAAAAATGTGCCAAAATCATATGGTTTTATTGTGTCTTGAATAGAAATATTTAGCTAAGCATGACCATCATAATTTGTTAGTCAACAAACACCTAAGTCAGTCCCTGAATGGAAGCAGTCATACACTTATCAAAATATCTTAACTTGGAATACTTATAAAAACTTTTATACAGTCATTCATTTTGACAGCCATGTTGTCATATGGTCAGAAAATTTTAGAGCCCTAATTAAGTGTGGTGTCCTAAAAACTGCTGTAGTCTTGATCCTCCGGCAAGTCCATCATTTTAGAAGCCGTGGACCTTCAACTGCTCTTCCTTTACAATGTTTATCTGCAGAGAAGGGGAGAAGGAAAAAAGTCAGGATTTAAAACACAACTAATGCTTTAACACAGGCGTGGCAAACAGCAGGCCAGGAGGGCTGTTCCCAGCAGAGTTTGGTGATTTCTCTGCTCTTAACACACCAACTAAACCAAAGAGGAAACCAAACTAAAGCAGTGAGCTGCCAAGTTGAATCAGGCACATAAATGGGAAACAACCAAACTCTGCAAGACTCTAAACCTCTATGACTGGAGTTCACCATCCCTGCTATACCACAACTAAAAGACAAAGGAAATTTACCTCAAGGAGAAACTGGCAAATGTTTTTTCTTTGGTCTCCCTGCAACTGGATAACTTCCCCGTACTCAGGGTGTTCAATTACAGTACCATTGCAGGCAAATTTCTGTAAAACAGCAGCATCCCAGTGAAGACTAAGACTAAAGATCAGTCATTTTAAATGTTTAGTAAGATATGATAAGTCACTGTCCACTAGCATTGTTAACATACCTTTTTGAACGCTTTCACCAGCTTTTTCTTATCATAATCATCCGCAATTCCCTGTACTGTAGTAAGCGTCTTGCGCCCGTTTCGTTGTTGAATCCTTATGTGGATTTTATCCTCTGTCCCCGCCGGGAGCAAGTTGTCACCCTTAGTTGCATCAGCAAAGGGATCTAAAAAAACAGGGCACAAGCAACACATCCATCATTAACGTTAGTTAAATATAACTAGCAAGCAAAAGCAAGGACTAAATCTACTACGTTAACTCAGTGCGATGTTGCTATGTTAACGTGTAGCTTATCAAACACTCTGCCTCAAGTGATCCTCAACGAGAAAATGAAAGGAATCATTTTGTTTATGAAAACCTTTGTGGAGAAGAAAGTGTATACTAATCTTTTAAAGGCCGATTTGACAGCAATTTACGTGTTTTCACAATCGTGACAATCTCAAAAAATGTGAGTGGATCGATTATCCAGTCTTTGTGCGTCATCGTCCAAACACTTTTGCAAATAGCTCAAGATAACTAGCTTGCATAGCTGCAACTGCAATTAACGTTAGCTAGGTTAGCAAGTTAGCTGTGATTTGAGCAGCCATCAAGTCATGTTAGTCGCCTAGGTTCGCTAGCCACCCAGCTTGGGTCAAAAGTATTAACGAGTTATTTAACAGATGTCGAGATATTAAGAAAAAAATAAAGTGTCTAAATGCCGGCCTACAACAAATTAAACGATCGTGGTCGCTCTCACTTGCTAGCTAGCTAGCTAAGTTAGCTAAAGCAGTCCACCGCCCAAAGTAGCAACAGCTAACTAGCTTGCTACCGAAACCAGATTGAGCTATTGTTATGGTTACCTCAAAACGTCCACAAAAATCAGCGGTCTTGACTTTTTTACAGTCGAGTTTTCTGGCCAATGATATTTGAACTATAGCTGATAAAATAACGTTAGACAGATGTGAGCCAGTTCGATCTAGCTAGTGCGCTCACATAGCTCTTCCTCTCGGTTGTTATTGTTCGGTAGGCCAGCGTTCCAGAGATAACTACCGCTAACTGCTCCAGTGATGTGTACACATCGATACAACTTACCGAAAGACTGGAGGTTCTGGATAGAGGACATGCGATATTAGGACGATAACGTTGATGGGCGAAAGATTTCGGCGCTCGATGCCGTCTGTTTCGTTAGGAGTATTGGCTTAGCTAAGCCTGAAGCTCTGCCAGCAACAAAGGCGAAAAGAAAGGCCTAACAGTCTGACGCAACCTCCAGCGCTGACAGGCTACAGCAGCACACAGCACAGAGCGCCGGCTGGAAAAGAACAGAGATCAGCGAACACACAGCTTAAGACCCCTGCAGTGGCGCTCAGTGGAGAACAGGCAGAGGCGGGGTTTAGGTTCTCTGCGTTCATCTGCACAACCGGTTGCCTGTTAGTCTTTTAATTAGTGAACTTGGAACGTGTGTGTGTATATATACCGATTAGCCATAACATTAACATTAAAACCACCTATTTGTATCTACGTTCTTTGCTCATTTTATCAGCTCTACCTACCATATAGGTACACTTTGTAGTTCTAGAATTACAGACTATAGTGCATCTTTTTCCCTGCATACTTTGTTAGCCCCCTTTCACTGTCCACTCTATTAGACACGCCTGTTGCTGCAGTTTGTGATCACTGATGAAGGACTAGGGCATGAATAACACAAACTGTGTAGCAACAGTTTGTGAAGCACTACAGCATGAATAACAATCTGTTGCTGCACAGTTTTTGTTATTCTTGCCATAGTCCGTCAGTGGTCACAGGATGCTGCCCTCAGGATGCTGTATACATATCAGGTTGAAAAAAAATAGCATTAAATTAAATCGTCATTAGATTAAATTCCTAGTACATTCAGCATCTATTAGCATAGTAACTTACATTTGCTGAGCTCTATATGTCTCTTTACTCTTATCTCTTTACACTGTTTGTAAATAATAAAAAAACAAAAACAGTCCAAAATGACATGGAAAATATTCTGGTTCCATTGACTTGCATTAAAAGTAAAGTATGTTTTCCCTTCTCTTGTAAAGTTATCACTTTGGAGATACTAGGTTTTGTTCTGACAGCAGCAATATACTATATATATATATATATATATATATATATATATGCATGATATAAAACAAAATGATAAATCTTGCAAATCACTACAGATCTTGCCATAAACATAACATATTGAAATTAAACACCAAAAGAGAATTAGTACCTACATTTTAATAAACACTAAAGCAACATACACTTGTTCGATTGTGAAAAAAGAAAAACAGTGCTGTTTTAACCGACTTTAAATTCAACAGCAAGACAACAAGGAATATAACCAACAAAAATAACATTTGATTACAGTAAAGATGCAATTAACAGTCTGGAGGAACCAACTATTATAGTACTAAATGTATAGATATACAGCACTCTCTTGAGTTGTTTTATTTCATTTTATTTTAAACGTTAATGTTAACCTGAAACCAAAATAGATTTCACCTTGTTAGTTTACATCCTTGATATTAAGCATGATTCATCTAATCACTTGACAAAATTTTTGTTTTCCCATAATCTTTGATGGCAGCTTAGAAGATATGTGTATGTGTGTGTGTGTGAGTTTCAACATTTGATATGTTGTCTTTGTACAATTTTCAATGAAATATAGGGTTTAAATGATTTGCACATCATTGCATTTTGTTTTTATTTACATTTTTCACAGTGTCCCAACTTTTTTGGAAATGGGGTTCCAATACCTTTTCTAAACCATCTGATTTTAACTACATCACCATTCAACAGCAGGCAGGGAAAAATAATATTAATAAATAATATCATGTTTTACCTCTCTCTCTAACCCCACCTCTCATTGAGCAAAACGCTCAGTTAGCTCAGAGATTCTCATTTCACTCGGACATGACGGTAACACAAGGAAAATGTGTTACTGATTTCTGATTCACATTGACTTTAACCAGTGTGTAGTACGTCAATAATATAAATAAAAAGATTAACAGCAGCAAATTTAGACACATCATGTATCATACTGTATCTTTGTTTCAGCTTTATCATGACAGAGGAACGGAATGATGATTACTTTTAGTAAAAGGCTGAATCTTTTTGGCAGAATACAAACCCTGACCACTCAGACTTAGCAAACCATTTAGTTGAATGTTGTGTGTTATCTGAACAACAGCTTAAAGAAAGCAAAATTACACAATAAAATAATTAAGGATCAAGTTGATTTTAAAAAACAAACCCAAGAACATGATGGGGTGACACTAAGGTAATCAAAAATACAGTGATGCTTCTTGTGATGACTTAAAGAAAAACTGAGGTAATGTTTTCCACAGGAGAGATAAAAGTGAAAGTGCAACATGTAAAAACAGTTTTCAAGAGATATTTTGTTCTTCCCACATTGACATGATACAGTTCATTTGGATTCCTTAGTTCTTCTCAAATAAAAAAATACTTATTTTTGCAGATTTTCTCTGCTATTAACTTATAATGCAATACGTTAATAAAATAATCATTCAATTTTTATATTGGACTTTAAAATCAGACAATAAAGGAACTGCAGTTTTGTCCACTAGGTGGTGGGGGAGTCATTTTTTCACCCTGAATGCCACCATCCCCAGAAATAAGGGTAAGTTATAACATTCCATCATTTGAAAACTTGATTTTGTCATATGCTGATTGCACACCAATAAAAATAAATGCTTTCAAAATGAATTACACTCTCACAGAAAACAACACATCAGCTGAAATCAGCTACAATATCTGACAAGTGTGGGGTTCTTGTTTCTGTCTGACAATTCTAGCAACATAATATGCAAAAGCACTTGTCCTAATTGTGTCCAGGTCACTTCTCAACACACTCTCCAGACTGAAAAAGTCAAAGGCATTTGTGTCCAAACTGTTTATGAGAAACAGCTGTGATTGGGCAGCTTTTGTGCTCTGCAGCTCTTTAGCACACTGTGCTCGAAGCCCATCCAGAATCTCGGTCTCAGAACAGCACAAGTCTTCTTGCCCCTGCAAATGCAAGTCAATCTTTGTCTGAACAAAGTGGTAGTGTTTCTTTAACTCTCTTACAGCTCTTGCGAGTTCCATGTGACAGGTCTTCTGCCAGTCTGACACAATAATGATATAGAAATCAAAATGATCCAAAATTTGCTTCTCCTGCAATGAGTTATCCATAACTCTCTCTACTCCTGACACATGCCAAAATCGGATATCTGGGTACTGAGGACTAGTTGCTGGGATCTTGGCATGTGCTGAGCCTCTGGTGCCATTCTTCTGACCCGTTAGGGCATTTACCAGAGTAGCTGCCCCTGATCCTGTCTCGCCTAAGACAGCCACATCAAGTTGGAAGTGGTCTAGAGCCTCCAGTGCAGCTTTGACTTCCTCAGTTCCATCTATCAAGCGTTTGTAGATTTTCTGTAGCTTTTGAAGGTCCTTTTCTTTCATTTTCCCACTATTTAAAGCATGGCGCTTTATGGCCCTGATATGAAAGAGAGAGAGAGAGAGCATGAGAAATAATCACTTTACCAAGCTAGCTAAGACTTGTATAGTACAGTTAGTACAGTTATATGCAAAGTTTGGGTGCACTTCATCAAATTACATTTTGTTATTTTTTTTTAGTGAAAATAAGTAAATCCTCTACAAAGAACACATCTGCATATTGTTGAACAGATTGCTGAGCATGCTGAACACTCATGTTCAGAGAATACTCACATTGCTTTCCTCCCAGCTGCAGTGGACAAATTGGTCATGAAAATGGGGAAAACATCTCTTTTGAGCTCTGGCGCCGCTTTCTCAAGGGTGTCCTTTAGGGTCTGCATGTCATAGCTCTGAGTGTCATGGCTCGACACTAAGAATACTGGGACATTAAGGTTTTTCTCACATAGATATTTCAAACATTCATCTCTCATATCCCTCAAGGCATTGATTTCACTGAAACTGTGTTTTTTACTCTGTAAAAGCAAGTCATTGTCTACTTTTGCCCTGACAACATAAAGCGGCTTCTTCTGTTTTTGAATTTCATCAATCAGAAGCATATTGTTTTCTCTGAATCTCTCAGATGTCACTACAATGAACATGTCATATAGGTCAAAGTTCATTGTCTCCACATATCTCTTTGATGTAAAAGTAGGCGTTCCCATCCCTGGAAGATCCCACAGCCTTACATGAGGATTATTTGGATAAAGGTACATCGCAGGTTCCTTTGTGGTCTCCACAACTCCTGTCGGTGCAGCCTCTTCATCATCATGGTCCAGTCCGAGGACTGCATTAATCAGTGAAGATTTCCCTGCGCCTGAATCTCCCGTCACCGCTACATCCATCTTAAACTGAACAAACATGTCCAGGAGATTCATAATCAGACGGGGGATTTTTTCTGGGTCCACAGACTGCAGTGCCTCTTTGATTTTGCTGATGTGTTCTTCTGGGATCTTTTGGATCTTCATACTAAACCAAATTGAGGACAAAATGAGGACAGTTCACATACAGCTGACGTACAATCTGATTTCAATAGTTAACATCCCACATTAGTAATCGATCAGTTCTGAGTCGATAAGCTGTGAATTTTCCCCTAATTCTTTTTAAGCCTATTCAATACTTTGGGGAACAGGACTAATTTCCAAAAACAAGGATGGGAATAGTTCTTAGTTTACCCTTGAATTTTTTTAGTCTTTCATATTTTCTATCTATAGAGATTGATGTCAGTGAAAATTATATAATAAAAAAGTAGAAATCAAAACGTTGTAGTACAGAATTAAATATTCCAGGAATTAATATAATCATATAGGCTACGAAACAAAATGTCTTTAAGGAAGGACTGCAGTTCAGTCAAAGTGGCAAAAACCTGCAGAGGAGAAAGAGGTACAGACTGCACAGCTGATCTTCCACTCATGGTCTTTAATTATATATCATTATTTCCACAATACGCTTAATCAACTGCTTGTCACATAAAATGAACTATGTACATCTTTAAAAAGAGCAGACTAGTCTACTCACCCGGCCTCCATGTTAGTAGGTTAGCTACCGGACAGTAAAAGCGAAAGTAGATGGAAACTATCAACAACACAAAGGGCTTCGTCTTCTTTAACTCAGTTAAACATCGTTAAACCGTGTGTAGCAGTGAGGCAGAGAGTCCCAAAAATGGATCAGACACTCTCGACGAATTAACATACTTCTGTGTCGAGCGCTGCTGTTTTTCCTCTCCTCTCTGTCTGGTTTCACAGGAGAAACGAAACTAAAGCACTGATAGAGCTCTCTCAAATACCGAGTTTACCAACTGACTCCGCAGATTCACGATTCTTCCCCGCTTGAATTTTCTCAACTTCTTTCTAATGTGTCCTCATTCACTTTCAGAAGATGGGTTTATTATTCATTTGTTTGTTTGTTGTACATCACCAATTCCAAACAAGTCGGGACAGTGCGTGAAATGTTGATCAAAACAGAAAGCAGTTATTAGTAAATTCTGTTTGACCTGTATAAAACTGAAAACTATACAAAAACATATTTTATGAACTTCATTGTTTTTTTGTAAACATATGCTCATTCCAAATTAATTCCAAAAAAGTTGGGACAGGAGGATGTTTACCACTGTGTTACATTATCTTTTCTTTTAACAGCACAAGTGATCCAGTTTTGAAAGCAAAACTTTTTGCCAAAATCTCTTCTTTTATGTCTTCAGCTGTGCAATTGTATGGGACCTTTGTTGTCATATTCTGAGCTTAATCAAGACACACATTTTCAGCGGGAGACAGTTCTGGACTGCAGGCAGGCCAGTCTGGCACCCACACTCTCTGATTACACAGCCATGCTGTCATGTTGAAATAACATGGTAACATGGATACCCACTAATACCCTCCATTATTTTCATTAATAGTCTGAAAGGTTGACTCTTCAGATCACAATACACATTTCCACTGTGCATCAGTCCATTTCACATGAGCTCAAGCTCATCTCTGACTTATGACTTACACTGCATAGTACAGTCCTAACTTGTAGATGCAGCAGCAACAGTATTTATTGTCAACAGGTTTTCAAAGTATTTCCAAGCCCATGTGGTATCCATTACAGAAAAATGTCAGTTTTTAATGCAGTGCTGTCTGTGGGATCCAAGGTCACAGGCTTTTTATTTGTGGTTTTCCTTTTTCCTTATGCACAGAGATTTCTCCACCTGGCTGAGGAACATTATTTTTAAGATCTTGTTTTATTATTATTTTTTTTGTAGATGCAGTTTTAGTGCCGAGTCTTGACCCATCCTTGCTCATAAAAGACAAGGCTTTTACTGGATGCTGCTTTTATATTCCAGCATAATTACATCAGCTGTATAACATTTTTTTTTACATTTCACAATGGTCTTAGTCGTAAATTGCCACGTTCCAACTGTTATTTGGGAATGAGTTATGGGCATCAATTTCAGAATAAGCATATGTTCATAAAAACAAAAAGTTTTTTTATCGTTGAAAAGGTAAAACATTATATATTATACATTATACATTGTCTTTGTACTGTTTTTGTTTGAATACAGGTTAAAGCAGGTTTCTAATTCACTGCTTTCTCTTTTTATTGTCATTTTAGCTACTGTCCTAATTTTTTTTTGGAGTTTGGTTTGTACATAAGTACATAGTACATGACACTTATCAGTCATGCAGACTACCTTGAATGATTAATTTGGAGTCAATGCAGGACTGTACTGAAAATATTACACATCAATTCACGTTATAAGATGTCAAACTATGCTCTCTCTCTCTCTCTCTCTCTCTCTCTCTCTCTCTCTCTCTCTCTCTCTCCAGTAGTGATAAGAATGATACTTAGTGCACACTGCTTCAGGAAATATAAAGCTGGATTATTTTAAGAACTTTAGCTGGAATGTTTGGTCTGTTTTATGTCCTCTTTAGAAAAACACCTACATTTTTATTGTGAAAAACTTTCTGTCTGGTTCCACATAGTGGTGAACAACAAATGATTACAGAATGAAAATAATAAGTGCAAAATATAGATTTAGACAAGAAATCCTGGAAGTGTGCATTTAGAATTATTGCAAGAAGAAATATAGTTTATCTCAATGTGATCAATCAATCATAAATAAATAAATAGATACATTTTTTGGATTTTATTGGTGTAATAGGAACAGATAATATATAACATTTAACATATGCCATGAGTTCATTTCCACTTGTCTCTTAGTTATGTATTTTGAGGTGTGTCAGTGTCTTGTTATTCGAGAGAGCAGCCAAGACATCCCTCACATATATCTAAGGTATGTGCTAAGCCACACTTTATTGTCACCTGATCCACTTGGTGGTGTTTGACTGTACTGTGCAGGTAAGATTTGTTCTGTTTCGTCGCTTAACATTTTGTGTATAAATTTAATTGTGTGTTTTATACATGTCCAATTACTATTTTGTGTGATACTTAGAGAAGGTTATTTATCTTACTGAACAGCATGCATCACTAATCGCCAGTTACAATATAAAATCATGTTCCTATCCTTCAACTTTTGGCTAAAGTTATAAGCAGGATAACTTGCAGAAGCTCCATTTACTTTGTCTATTTGCTAGTTAAATAAGGTGAATCAAGATAACTGACAAAATGTGAAATCTTTGATATGTGCATAAGCATCATTAATGTAAGTGTTTGTTTGTTGTAGCACCCCAGTTCCAAAAAGGTTTGGATACTATGTGAAATGCTGATAAAAGCAGCAAGAAGTGATCAGTAAACTCTGCATGATCTGTATTGAATTGAAAATAATAAAAAATATTTTATGCTTTACCTTGTGAACTTCAGATGATTTTTCTAAAGATTTGTTCATTCCAAATTATACGCCTGCAACACATTCCAAAATGACAAGAGCAGGAGGGTGTTTACTGCTATGTTACATCACCTTTCCTTTTAACAGCACTTAATAAATGTTTGGGGATTAAAGACACAAAGTGATCCAGTTTTGAAAGTATAACTTTTTGCCATTCTTCTCCTATGCAAGTCTTCAGCTTTGCAATCATCTGAGACCTTTATTGTTGAATTTTGAGCTTAATCAAGACACATTTTCAGTGGGAGACAGTTCTGGACAGCAGCCAGGCTAGTCTAGCACGCACACTCTCTAATTACACAGCCATATTGTTGTTACCCATGCAGAATGTTTTTTGCTGTTGTCATGTTGAAATAAGCATGGGTGTCCCTTAAAAAGACGGCAGAACATGTTGCTCCAAAATGTGTTCCATGTTAGTGGTACTTTCACAGATATGCAGGTTACCCACAGACTCTGGCTTTAGAACAATACCCTACCTAAAATCTGGATGGGCTTCATGACAATGAAGTCTATTATTTTTTTTAATAGTCTGAAAAGTTCAGACCACAATACACATTTCCACTTGCATCAGTCGATTTCAGATGAGCTTGAGCACAGAAAAGACGGCAGCGTTTCTGGATGTTGTTGACATATGACTTACCCTGTTCATAGTACAGTCTTAACTTGCATTTGTGGATGCAGAAACAGAGAGTGTTTATTGACAACGCGGTTTGTCAAACTATTCCCAAGCTCAAGTGGTGATATCCATAACAGAAACATGTTTTAGTGCAGTGCTGCCTGTGGGAGTCACAGGCTTTCATTTGTGTTTTTTTTTTCCTTATAAAATGTCAAACTATGCTCTCTCTCTCTCTCTCTCTCTCTCTCTCTCTCTCTCTTTATCTCTCTCTCTCTCACTCGTTCTTTCTCTCTCTTTCTCTTTGTCTCTCTCTTAGGTAATGATAAGAATCACACATGCACACATTTCAACACACCACCTAAGGAAATATCAAGCTGGACTATTTCAAAAACTTTATCTGGAATTTTTGGTCTTGTGGTTTTATGTCTTCTTTAGAAACAGACTTACTTTATTTCTATTGTGTGTAACTTTCTGTCTGGTTCCTCATAGTGGTGAACAATAAATGAATATGGAATGACAATAAAGAAAGTGCAACATATAGGTTTAGGCAAGACATCCTGGCAGTTTGCATTTAGAATTATTACAAGAAGAAACACAGTTCATAATTAAGCCTGGTTTTTGCTCAATCTCAATGTGATCAATCAAAAATAAGTATGTAAGTAATATGTAAGTACGCAAGTAAGTAAGTAAATAAATAAGTAAACACATTTCAGATTGTATTGGTCTAATAGGTGCAGATAATACATAATACCTGACATGTGCTTAATAATCGTTTGGGGACTAAAGACACTAATTGATCCAATTTTGAAAGTGTATATTTTTGCCATTCTTCTGTCATACGACCCCAAGTCCAAAAAAGTTGGGACACTGTGTAAAATGTACATAAATGTAAATAAAAGCAGAATGCAATGATTGACCCATAATGATGACCCATATTTTATTCACAATAGAACCTAGAACACATATTAGAATGTTGAAAGTGAAACATTTATCATGTCATGAAAAATATTAACTCATTTAGAACTTGATGGCTGCAACGCACCTCAAAAAAAGTTGGGACAGGGCCATGTCTACCATTGTGTAGCGCCCCCTCTTCTTTTAACAACAGTCTATCATAACAGATTCTCTGAATCTTTTGATGATTCAGTTTTTTGCAGATTGATGAACCTCTGCCCATCTTTGCTTCTGAGAGACTCTGCCACTCTAAAATGCTCTTTTTATACCAAAAATAAAATAAATTTTTTTCATTGTTTAGGTCTTATAGGTAAAGAAGTGCATCCAGAGATTCTGGGCCCTATGAAGTAATATCACATTGGGCCCCACTACCCCACCTCCACAGGCCACACCAATGTGGTGGCAACAGCAGCATAAAAACTTAGCGCTACCTTGGCTACTTAGTTGATAGACAGCTGACTATTTTAAACAATAGCCTGGGGCTTCAAAATTAGCTAACGTTAGCATGTTAATGCAGTGCTGTAAAATGGACACTCACTTACCTAAATTATGTATCATGCAAATATGATGGTTTTTATGTATGTTTATTTCAAAAACAAACACAAATAAAAATGAATTGTAAAAAAATAATTACAGTGTTACGTTCATTGGTAGGGGTAAGGGGGTGGGGAGACAGGGCTGGTTCATTGGTAATAGTACAGGGAGTGATGGGGAGACAGGGCTGCTGAGCCTGGGGGAGCAATACAGAGGCTCTCTAGATGTTTACTTTTTTGCCAAAACCAAGACCAGGAAAAGAAATTGTTAGTCTTTAGTTATGTATTTTGAGGTGTGTCAGTGTCTTGTTACTCCTGAGAGCAGCCAAGACATTCCTCACATTTATTTTAGGTATGTGCTAAGCCAGACTTTGTTGTCACCTAAGCCACTGGAGGTATTGTGACTTTACAGACAGAGTTGGACAAAATACTTAGAAGACATTTTCGATACATGTTGGTAAGGCAGACGAAAAAAAAAAAACATTTTTTTGACATAATTCATCTTGTTCATAGCTGTTACTACTTGTCTTGTTCATGTAAATATTCTGGTAAAACATTTCATTAAAAAAATTCCTTACCATTAAAAAACTTTTTTTCTCTCTCACTGCCTGCATCAGTCCACTGCTGCTCCCATGATCCCCGATCAGAAGTTCAGTAAAACACCAATACTCAACTTAAACTTCCAACGTCCACTACTGAGAACATACATTAGTTTGATCCTTGCTTTAAAAGAGCTCAGTAACACTGAGATTAATAACTGATCATCACACTGATTTATCAGTCTACTCAGGCTTTGGTAGGAACTTTAGTGTTTGTAAAGAAGCTGTTAATTGAAGTACTCCTTACAATACACCTAACAAGCATGTTTGCCATGCAGTGATTCTAAAATAGTTCATAAACAAGCACTGATGGTGTTTCTTTTGAATATTGCATGTTTTTTATTTTGAGGGTAAGTATTCTAAATGTATTCTCTTAAAAATGTAAAAAGTAACTGGATTCTGAATACTGTCTTTACAAAATGTATCTTGGCTGAATACAGATACTTAATTTCTGTATTCTGAATACATATTCCAAATACTTGTACTGCATTATATTCCAACCCTGTGTAGGTAAGATTTTTTTTATTTTATTGTATAAATATGATTGTGTATTTATACATGTATGGTTGTTATTTTGTGTAATATTTTGAGAAAGTTAAATTATTTGTCTTACTAAACTGAAAGCAATTTGCAGAATCTCTTTTTACTTCATCCATTTGCTACTTACATAATGTGAATCAAGATAATTGTCAAAATCTGAAATCTTTGATGTGTGCATAAAACATAATAATCATTAATGTTTGTGTTAAGGATATTTGCATTAATAGCAAAGTGCAATTTGTTTTCCTATTCTTATTCATCATTATTATGTGCTCTGTTTAGATCACCATGGCTTACGAGACAAAGCTGGATCCGGAAGACCATATCTATTTGGAACCGGATGAGTTAATAAAGAACCTCAAGGTCTCCACAGCAGAAGAGGCCAGTGCAAAGCTGAGAGACCATATTGACAACTTAGAAAATGTCTCGCTAAATGTGGCTATAACAGGGATGACTGGAGCTGGAAAGTCCACCTTCATCAGTGCTCTAAGGGGTCTGAATGATGATGAAGAAGAGTCGTCTCCAACTGGAGTAACTGAAACTACAATGGTTCCTACAATGTTTCCTCATCCCAGCATGCCAAATGTGAAGATTTGGGACTTGCCTGGAATCGGTAGTCCAAAATTTAAAGCGAAGCAATACCTGAGAGATGTGAAATTTGATACATATGATTTCTTCATCATTCTTTCAGCTGACAGATTCAAAGAAAATGACCTGATGCTGGCTGAAGAGATCAAGAAGAAGAACAAGCCTTTTTACTTTGTTCGCTCAAAAATAGACAATGATATTCGCAGTGAGAAAAAGAAGAAGAAGTTCAATGAACAGCAAGTGCTCTCCAAAATCAAAGATGACTGCAGGCGTAATTTAAAGAAGCTTGGAGATCCAAAAGTGTTTTTGGTGTCTTCTCATGAATTGGAAAAATATGATTTTCAGGCACTAATGGATCATCTGGAGGGAGACCTTCCAGAACACAAAAGATATGCCCTTGTCCAGTCTTTGCCAGTTTGCTCTCTGCAAGTGCTTGAGAAGAAGAAGCAGTACTTAAGAAGAATGATCTGGCTGACAGCCTTTGGATCTGGTGCCATTGCAATGACTACTATTCCAGGTCTGGCAGCAGGGTGTGACATCGGCATAGTGATGGCTTTCTTCACTCGATCCTTTCAGGCCTTTGGTCTTGATGAGAAGTCCCTGCAGAGCCTGTCAGAGAGAGTCAACAAGCCAGTAGATGAGCTAAAATCAGTGATGAAATCCTGTTTTGCCAATGGAATCACTGTTGAAGTGGTTCGCACATTTTTCTCCACATCGAAGGTTGACATAGCAATGAAGGTTGAGTATGTTTTGAGCAGCATACCCTTAATGGGTGCCCTACCTGCTGGAGGAATTTCTCTGGGCACAATATTTCATCTACTGAGTAAAGGACTGAATCAGATGGCAGATGATGCAAAAGCAGTGCTGAAGGTGGCAGGATTGGAGTAAGAAGTAAATAACTGAAGAAAGTGACAGATGATGTCAACAAGTCATAACTACACAGCATTTTATACCATGCTCAATGTATCATTTGATAAGAATACATTTTATTTGATGACCTTTGATTAATCTGGAAATATAGTTAAGTTTTACAGGAAAATGGTGTGTGGTGTTAACTGCATTAATCACTAATGGGGAAGTGGCAATTTTCATTAAGTTATGGTTGTAATACTTACTTTTTAACTCTGTAATTACCTAACACCTCACTTTGAAAAGTAATTCCTATTTCTTTGTTCCCAGCTGATTCCAGGTTTATCTGTCATCAGCTAATATTCATTAAACATACTGGTCTTTGTTATTTCTTCATGAATCTGCTGTTGTTTCAAGTTGGACATGAATGAATACTGGATTTTTTTTTTATAATTTTGTGATATTTGGGAAGTCATTTGGGATGTAAGTTGTTAATATTGTCTACCTACTGTGATAATTAATATCTATCAAGAATTACTTAAGAAAATTCTACAAGTTTACATGATAACAAAAGTTCAGTAGAATTATCTTAGAGGTGTTCAGTTCAAAAACTGCAATGAACAATGAAATGAAAAGGTATAGCCGGTTGCAGTCTGTATTGTTGTAATGGAGTTGATCTGCAATGTAAAATAAAATGATACAAGACTATCTTAGACAAACGTGTGACTCTTTTTTATGCATTTTATGCCAGAAAAAAACGTACACATACTAATCTTCTTCCATTGTGAAGCATTTAAATTAATTAGCACAATTTTGCAATAAAACTGAGGTGTTATGACAAAAGTCATTTTTAACTTCATTTGAGTACTATTTTTGTAAGAAAACATTAAGGTTAACATTACAGAACGTGTAACAGTTGAAACACTTGAAATACAGGTTTTCTGGAACAGGTTGTTGTAAATGCAAAGAGTTCCAAGAAAAGAGTAAAAAAAGAAAAAGAAAACAAAAATGGTCTTATCATCTAATGCTCCAGGCTGTTCAACACATTCTTTAAGGTTCTCTGTCTTTTTTTTTGAATGCTTTGTTTGGCACAGTAATCAAAAAATTCTACCAGGTGTAATACAGAACATACAGAACATACCTGATGTCCTGTTAAGCCTCAAATGTATAGATTTTATCAATGATATAAATTTAATTGCTTATTATCATTATTGCTATTTCTATTACTAGCTAATATAAATTGTTGACTTTTTATTTAAGCCTAATGACCATGGGTAGGAACCTTCATGTGACTCTCTTTGGCACAGCATAGCATTATCACTACTGAAGGTGATCCTCTGTTTATCAAATTCAGTCTGATTTATTATTCTAGCTGGCATCATCTGTGTTTATGCCATTGTTACACCACATTGCAGCATAGAAGATTGCACTAGTAGGCACATTCAGGTAGAAGACCTGAAAGAGTGACCTGCATACACCACAAGGCCTGACCCTGCTCAGGAAGTAAAGCTGATTCTGGATCTTCTTGCACACAGTCCACCAAAGTCTATGGTACAAGTGCAACACAAGACGCTTGCAGATCCTCACTGCCACATCCTCTTTCATTATTGTTGAGCTGCAGATGGTTTAGTTTTCTTCATTCAACTCATCTAGTCCATCATCTATGGAAGCCCTGTGCTGATCATAAGCATATCTGACACACAAGCCTAATATGGTCTGCCAATCGGACTATTTTCAAGAAACAATAGGAGAATCGCCTTTGCACTATTGCATGGATTTATGTTAATGCACTAGAGCAGGGGTCCCCATTCCTGGTCTTGGAAACCTTCCGCCCTGGAGGGTTCAGATCCAACACACCTGGCTGTAGTATCCAGATGCCCCTGAAAGCCTTCATTACCTGGATCAGGTGTACTAGATTTGGGTTGGAGCAAAACTCTGCCAGGTGGTAGGTCTCCAAGACCAGTACTGAGTACCCCTGCACTATGCTCTCAGAAAAAAATTTACAAAACGGTACCCCCTTGTCACTGGGGTGGTACCCTCAAGTGTACACACACTCCGTCTCAATTGTACACACACTCTGTGTTCTTTTCCACAGGGGAAAAACTTATTTAATGTACACAATTGGACCTTAAAACCACTCTTGTATCTTTGAGGGTACATTTACATTGTTTATGCCTTGATGAATGAAAAATGTACCTGCGCAGCACCTTTATTTCTAACAGTGTAGAGAAATCAAATATCTGCACAGTGCTGTCTACTTTGTCAGGTTTGTCAAAAAACAATTCAGCTCTGTTCGGTGACTGCATCATCTCTTCCAATGCCATGCCAAGTGAAGAGGTTCTGAAGGCAAGCCAGCAACAGAATTTCTATTATGTGTGAGTTAAAAGCCATGAGGCAGCTGTCATTTAGGACTTTTGGTTGTTGCTTTTTAGAGGTTGGGGCACAGGATGTCTTCCACATAACTGGCACTTTTTTCAGACTCATGTTTAGATTAAAACAACTTTATGCTAAATAACTTCACACAGTAGCACAAGTCTTCAGCATCATAGAGTCAATACTGTCAGGCCCTGTAGCTTTGTATTGTTAGAGTTTCCTTAGTCTTAGTCCCAGATTTTCCTTCTCTTTATGAAGCCACCTTGGGTATGGGAAAGGCTAAAAACAGAACAAAGAAATCAGTAATAAAAAAAATAGCAACCCACAATCTCCTGCACTTTTTTTTCAATCCGATGGGAAACAAACTTTTGGAATCAATTGCCTGCTCGGCACACCATGACAACGATGACCCTTCTGGGGCAAGACATATTTTAATGGACTGAATAAACATTGCCCCTCTTTAAAATTTATTAAAGAGTGTTCTCTAAAGCATTTGTATGTTAGGAAATCAGATATTCTTGCATTGTTGCTCATATAGACCACTTCATTTCACACAAGTCTTTTGTTGTAGTAACAGTTTAACACTCACTGTCCTTATATGTCAAGCAAAACCAGTAATCAAATGGCTCCTTCTTGTTCTTAAGCACATCTGACTACAATGAGAAATAAAAAAATAATAAGAAATGAAGCTTTAGGATTAAACAGGTAAACATTTTGCTATATCAGCAAGTTCTTCATTGTAACTGTCGAGCTTTGAGCCTTGAGTATTGAAGTGGTATTGTACAGCACTGTCATATGAGTAGTCTATGTCTTGTTTACATGTACCACATGGTCTTGTAAACACAGGCCTGATATTGTGCTGATACATTATAAATTTGATAAGTTTTTCTTGAGTTTGTTGTTAGATAACAGGCTTTAGGATGTGGACGTCTGTGAAGTTTAAGGGGCTAACTCATTAATCCATTCCAGACTGCACTTCACTGTTTTGCAGTTGGACTGAATATAGTCTCACAAACTAGACTTCTTCCTGTTGTACTGTGAGCAGAGCGTCAGAGACTGAGACTGAACGTCACCAACAATATTCTTCATGCTTCTGCATCCCTCACATGCAAAGTTTGTCCTCTAACTTGTTTCCTGGGTTTATCTTTAGCATCTGTAATCAAATCCTTAGGTAACTTTTGTTTCATTTACTCTTTGCCCTGAAGGTGATCTTCTTTTGAAAATCAGCAGAGCATCCAGAAAGCTGGAAGACTCTGGCACAAACCTTTAGTTGTTGTTTTTTTGTGTAAACACCTTGCTAGACACACAACTTCCCAAACGACATATTTTAGATACTGCATTGACGTACAAGAACCACTTTTGGTTTCAGGACATTTCAGTGGATGCTTCCTTACAGAATTACTCTTATAAATGAGGCTGTAAGTGTGAAGAACATACAGAGTAAATACAGTTTAGAGAACCACCACATAGTGTAAAGGTTCAGGGTTTTTGAAAGGTTTTACCTTGAACTGTACGCCTGAGCCAAGAACAACTTAGGAGCCTTTATTTTAAGAGCACCTAGTAACTTCTGTTTTAAATATATATGTTGACACATTATAAGTATTACTTTTATAATTGTATTTCTACACAGGAGATGAGAAACTGTTTTACGTTTAAGTTTAAGAACTATTGTGAATTGGATGGTTGTGATTCTTTGGGCAAGATCACTACACATATGACTGAAACCAAGTCTCCATGGTAGGCTGTTAAAACATCATTACAAAAGAAGAAATATTTAAATTACATTTTCATAATGGCAAACAATATACATACATTAGGAACAGATATATTGCTACTGTCGTGACAAAACCTTATTTCACAAAAATGGTAACTTTACAAAAGAAAGAATAAACCCCTCTTAACTTTAAATGGAGGTTAATCGAACAAGGTATTTTTCTAAGTAATTTTTGGAGCATTTCAATTGATTCACTCATCATAAAATGAAAATGGTGAGATTTTTGTTCTGACAGCGACTACAAACCACAAAAGACCAAAAACGAAATACAGTACATTTGGATGTGTGGCACTCTAGCAGTTGTAGAGAAGATCTAAAAAGTTAAATGTTAAAAACAAAGAGCATAATGGTGTACATGAATAATAATCTTTGTATTGGGTGAGAGTTTTTCTCACATATACTAGAATGGCATATAATATGATGTTTGGTATGGAGACATACGGTTAAAAGCTCTAAAAGTATTTTTCATGCATTGTTTATTCTCTGCAATGACTAAAAGTCCAGAAAGGATTGTGTAAGACCAGATAAGTGCTATTTGTACAAAGGCATCTTATGGGGATCTCTTCCAAAGTTCTAATAACTGTTAAGAATTTCATGGATCCAGGGCAGCAGAGCACAGACTTTAGTGTAGACTCCAGGGTAATCAGGCTGAGCACAACCATAACCCCATGACACGATACCCTGCAGCACACCATTACACACCAGAGGACCACCAGAGTCACCCTGAGAGACAGAGATACAAAGAGAGAGAGAGGTAACTGAACAGTATGTATATACATACATTCATTCTGAGCAAACATTTGAATGTAAACACTTTTAGAAATGTGATGATGATTCTCAGACTTCTTCACATTTTAACATAAGACCTTAAAGAAATATGTCTTCATATTCTACATATTCACATATTCTACATTTTTTTTCTTGTGTCTTGTCTTTTCCCTGAATTTATGTACCAACTTCATAATTAATGTTTGTATTGCCGTCTTCATCTCTTGAAATTACACAGGCTGTTTTTGTTACTGGGTTTTTAAGATGTAAATGACGTATGTAAATGACGTCTGCTCCAATTCGCTTGTATTGTGCCTCATTCAAAAAGCAGTCCAAGCTGAACAACTCCTTGAATGGGCAGAGCTAAGCTGCTGTAGGCTGAATTGGCAGATGTACATATGAAAATGTGTTATCATGACATTTGAAATGTTAACTGCATTTACATCTTGGAAATGATGTACGGTATTCAAACAAAAAAGCAAGACATTTTGAAAATACATTTTCCATTTTTTAATGTACACAGCATATATAGGACTAATAGAATAAATAATACAGGAACACATGACATACCTGACAGGAATCTTTGCCTCCCTCCAGATACCCAGCACACAGCATGGTTTTGGAGATCTTTCCAGGGTAGGAGTTCTCACACACCTCCTGAGAGAGGATGGGCACATCTAAACACTGGAGGTTGAATGGGTTGAATACTTAAAAAGAGAGAAACAGTAAAGTTTTACACTGCATGTAATTCGTGACAAACAAAAGTTTTCATGAGTCCCACAGGACCACTTGCTGGTGGTAAACAGTGAAGTGCTGCTCATCTGCAACTATGTAGTTAATATAATGTAAAATAATAAGAAAAAAGCAATTTCTCTGGCAGTAAGAATTTATCTGCATAGAAAAAAAACTAATATTGGAATAGATACAAATTACATTAAGACAGTAAGTACTGAATATGTGATCATGTATATCAATGTATTCATTCAACCATTTCCAAATGTCTCCTTCAGTATTATTTGTAGCTATTATCTAATACCTGGTTTAGTTAGACAATTCTTAATTATATTAAAACAAATGTGCTGGTGATGGAATTTAACAATGCAATGGCAGGGTGCTTCTAAGAGAATATATATTATGTACCCCAAAAGACTCTTATGTAGACTGTTTTAATGTGGACTGGTGATGAGGCGCTTGTACTGACCTGAGTCTGAGTAGATGTTGCCCCAGCCAGACACCACACACATGTCTCCAGGAGTTGGGCAGGTTTTGGGCAGATCAACAGGCTTCACAAACTCATTTACAGTGACAGGGTGAGCCAGCTTCATCAGCATGATGTCATGGTCGAGTGTCTGGTAGTCATAGCTTTGGTGCCAGTAGATGGCATCCACAGCCATGTACTGCTCTGTGCCCTCATACTGCCAGATATGGTGTTCACCCAGGATAACTATCTGGTAATATGGACTGAGTGATAGAAAGATATCAAAGTTATTTGATTTATTCAATTAATTAGCTTCAGTTTGCTTACATAAGTAGTAGACTGCAAACACAAAGGCTTTAAACACTTTTTTTTAATGCATCACAGAGTTTAGTTGCAGCTTTCTCCAATTTCAGAAAAATATATTTTTTTAAATAAACACTCTTTTTAACAAATTTATTTTTCCACAGTTTTTCTCTAAACACTACACAAGTAAAACCTAAGCATTTGGATTTACAATATTGCATGATGAGTTACTCCTGATTACATCCAGATTTTAAAAAAGTGTGTTTGGGAATGAGTGATAAAACGTTTACAACACTTACCTCATCCAACAGTGGGCTGCAGAGATGACCCACTGGTCATTGATGAGAGAGCCACCACAGAAATGATACCCAACATTCAAAGAGGCCTGCCAGGGCTGAGAATGAGCCTTACACTCATAACCACCCACTATCTTATCATCCAGAGGGGCTGCAGCTGAGAGAGAGAGAGAGAAAGATAGAGAGGGAGAGAGAAAGAAATCATGTTAGGGTAATTAAATCATTATTAGCTGTACTGGAAATGAGTAGCTCTCACTGATTTCCAGAGGTGCTCACTTAATCACATGTAAAAATAATAATTAAGCACATTTTTAATATACTGTACTGAGTGTTGTCAAATATTTTAGTTTCAGTTACATTTGTCATTAACATTTAGTTATAATATTTAGCATAATTTTTACAGTTCTAAAGCATTTAAGTACTTTTGCAATCTGCTATTTTTGTACTTTTACTCAAGCTGTTTTTGTAACATGTAACAAAACATTTACATGAGTAAACAGTCCTTTTTTATTAATGTTACCAGTTCAGAAATTATGCTGAAATATGCTGAAATGTACCTACAAAGTAGTTGTGGGTGACATGGCAAAATATAACATCCTGAACTTTTGAGATGTTTTCACAATATACAGTATCACAATATGTAGTTTTCTGAAGTCTGATAAGAACAAAAGAACCAGTAACATCACATTTAAAAATACTATCAAAATCTCTAAATGCAATCATTTTTATTTATCATTTTATATCCTGCACTGCAATTTAACAGGACTAATTATTCTTTCTTTGTGATGAAACATGTTGTTTGTGAGTGTTCTTTAGGTTCTCATGACATCCACAGTATGCTTAGAGAAGTAGTAATGTCATGAAATTTGATCATTAGATTATATTCATATCTGCCTTACCTGCAGCACCCAGAAGAGCTAACAATAAGATCACCATGCTGCCTTCTGTTCGCCTGACTGGACGCAGTGCCTTAAGTCAGCTGCATTTATAGTACTGGCTTTATCTGCACACATGAGCACATAACCCACACACTCTCTTCTCTCTCTCTCTCTCTCTCTCTCTCTCTCTCTCTCTCTCTGTCTCTTTACTTTGTTCAAATGCAGTATAATGCACATCAATGCAAATGATATACATGACTAGACAAATATTCTCCTACATTTCCAATATCCAATTTTTGCCACAATATACCCTAATATACCTTTTCAAACATTTGCAAATATCCAGTGGGGCTGACTGAAACGTGAGATTTAATGGGTTTGGGTTTACAGTTTGAAACGAACTGGATTTTACTTTTTTCATCTCAGTTCCAAAGATTTGGGTGGCCATGGTAAAATTCCATATTTTGTTGATTTTTGTAAGTGGAAAAAGATGTGGCCTGTATAAAATCCAATGTATTAAATTCAGCAAATAAATGTGTTTGCTGTAGAGAATGTGTTAACTTATTCTCACTTCATATTCACAAAAAAACGAATAAAAAAAAAAATGTGAAAATGGGTATTTTTGCAGACTTTTGCACAAACCACTGCAAAACTTGAAACAGCTGTTGTTGAACCAAGCAGAATAAATATACATGTCTGTTTTATCATTATCATAGAAGTTTTATCCTTAATTCTACATTGCCATGTGCCACAGATGCTTGAATCTCAGCCTTGATATTGACTGTTTGTAGATGTTGAAATGCACAGTCACTCAAATATGTTTTGCTGTTAGTAAGTGTCACGGTCAGCACGGCATGTGGTTATTTTCACGCAGTACTTGGCATTAACTCAAGGACAAATGAAAGTCTAATGATGGCAGCTACAAGGAGCAGTACAAGTCAGGCATGTCTTCAATATAATTTAAGGTGTGTAATGTTTAGGAGAACATTTTATACTGCAGTTCTGGATTGACTGAAAGAGATAAGATGATTTGCCTATTAAGATTAGTTTGTATTTTCAATTAAAAGTCTTGCTGTTTCAGCGAACAGTGGTCGTGCAAACCTCTTGTACAAAGTTAACCATTAAACATTGGTCATTGCTTCAGATGTGTGTGTGTGTGTGTCTCTAGGGGAGTGGGTTAAAGATAGTATATATAACGCCTGAAGTGACAGACACCTTTTCGGGCTGCTGAAACACTCACCACCATGAAACTGTTCATTCTTCTGGCACTAGTGGGAGCTGCTGGTAAGCAAAGAATCATTTTAACATCTTATATTTCAGTCAAACAGCCATTAATACAAGTTTAGTTTAGAAAACTAAACTAAAAAAAAAAAATTACATAGAAGCCTCAAAAACAAAATATATAATAATAATACAATTTATAGTGAGTCCACTCTTTGTTTTTATTAAACATTCTTAAACGTTTCTTTATAAAACATATTAAACTTACATTCTTTTCAGAAGACTTGCTTACGGTTTTTTAAAGAAATCTGCAGGGATTTGTTCCACACCTCCAAAGTTCTTAGACGTTGGTTGCATTTTCTGCTTCTTACAATCCAAGTAATCCCAACACATTCAGTAATGTTGAGGTCTGGACTCTGGGGTGGTCTGTTCATTATTCTGAACACCAGCAGCGTTTTTGTTTGTATTGCAAATTTTTCGTTTTGTTTTCTCTGTAACAGTTACTTGACAGCTACACATCCTTTCAGACCCACAGTGTTGAGTTGTCCTCTCACAGTGGAAGGGTAGACATAAACACTTGTGGATTTTTTCAGATCTGTAGCAAGAGTGGAGTTTGATTTTCTCCTCTCTCTCAAAGATTTAAATATCTCCTGAAGAATAAATAAATATTACTTAATGGACACTTTGTAAAGTACATAAATGTAGGGTGTTCTCTTAATTTTAACAGTACAGTATCTGGACATTAAAAGGCCTATAAACAGACTACAGCTTTTGAGGCCACATCTGTTGTAACCAATTTTGATTATTAAAATACAAGTACAGACTACATTTCTCCATTATGTGCACTGATGTGTGTATTTGGTGCGGTGTTGCAGTGGCAGTACCCCGAGGTGATGGAAGGATCATTGGAGGCTACGAGTGCACCCCTCATTCACAGCCTTGGATGGTCTCTCTCAATTATGGCTATCACTTCTGTGGAGGAGTGCTTATTAACGAACAGTGGGTGCTCTCTGCCGCCCAGTGCTGGTACAAGTGAGTACTTCACAAAAACAAAGTAGCACTTTCTTCTCTATTGAACTAAACATACATTTCATATTCTATTGGTGATGTAAGACACAGGCAATGGATAAACACTAGGACCACTTCCTAACTTCAGAACAGCTTTAATCCTTTTTAATGCTGACATACAAGTCCTGAAGTGTATGTAGTGGAGTATTGGAAAAAATTGTTCTTAACTGTTTTTGTTAAAATGGAAAGTAGCATTACTAAGACTAAAATCTGGTGTGTGTGCAGTCACCCTGTAAAGCCTAAAATGAGAATGTAAAAGGCACTGGGTCAGATTTCAGAAGTTTTTCAGACCATGTTATATGTTCTAATTATACAACAGTTAGTTCCGGCCACGCAAGCTGATTGGTTGAGAGGCGTTCTAACCGTGCTGATATTTCGCCATAACGTCACAGGTTTTTCACAAATACTGTATGACTCCGCTGATACGCCGTTGCTAAGCAACGACTTTGATAGGAGATGCTCAAGCTATTTGAACGTTTTAAATTCTTACTTTGCCACAAACAGAAAATGGACAACTGTTACCTTGAAGATCACATTTGACCGACAGCCGATTTGGTCAGACTCTGAAGATGAGACTATACTAAATTCCTAAACTCTCATCACCACTGAGCAAGCTTTTTAGTCAGCTAAACAACCTGGAATTAACCAGAAATGAACCGAATACCATTCGCCAAACGTGTAGTCTCATCTTCAGAGTCTGACCAAATCGGACTGAGCTATAAAACTGCCGCAATAAAACAGCGAGTGAGTGGGGCTCGTTACTCTGACGTAGCAACAAGCTGCTTGTTAAGGAACTATAATTTGGCGGAAGGAATTGCTAACATTAAACATACAAAACGACACGTTCACGACCCAATTTATTTATTTCTTACTTTATTTATTTAACTGTTGTATAAAAGCAATAGAACACTCAAGGTCGTGTGTTATCGCGTATAACATCACCGCTATGATGATCTACGATACTTGCCTTCGGCTCGAGCCTGCGACCAAATCACAGACGTGATGTAATTTCACGATAACACACTCTCGTGTTCTATTGCTTAAGTATTGCTGTCACATGCACAGACTCAAAAAGGCTCAAAATTTACACTCACCGAGCACTTTATTAGGAACACTTCTTGGTACTACACTCATAGTCCATTATAACAGCTGAAACCATTTCTCTCTTAATCTTCCACTCTAAGTCCCTACAGCATGCAGCTTATTCTGGGAGATCATGATGTTCGTGTGTTTGAGGGAACTGAACAGCTCATGAAGACAGATAACATTATCTGGCACCCCAAGCAAGTACCTTTTCTACAGCATCATATCCACTTCCAGACATGTTAGTTACTACCTGTTACGTTTAATGCAAATGTGTTGGATCACAATGAAACCCTGAACATGTCATGAACAGCATGTCTAAAATTGCCCTTTGACCTTTTGACTTCAGCTACAACTACCAGACTCTGGACTATGACATTATGCTGATTAAGCTGTTCCACCCAGTGAAGGTGACCGATGCAGTGAGACCTATCTCTCTGCCCGCTGGCTGTCCCTATGGAGGAATGCCCTGTACTGTCCCAGGATGGGGAACTGTCAGCACTGAAACCTGTATGGCTTTCATCTTATCCATACAAAATTCTAAAATGTAAAGAAAACTGATTAATAAGCCACTCAATAGTCCATCAAAATGTGGGTTTGAAGGAGTATCTTTAATTTATCTGTACATTTGTGCTAGAATAGTTTTATAAAAATAGTTTTATTTTTAATAGTTTCAAAATAAAAAGTTTACATATTTCCCCTTTTTATCCCAAATGTAGTCAATCATACAAAACATGTTTGGTGTACAAAGTTTGCTTGTTTATTTTTGCACTGGAGTTGTGGCAAAAAAAGACAAAACAAAAAAAAACATCATGCAAACTTCATGTTTAGATCATTGCTTACTTATCACAAATCCATGTCAAGTTGTTAAAAAATATCAAACACGTGGTTTCTAAGACTGTATGATATACCGTCATCTATGAAAAATTGTATGTGACATATCAATACTGTCCAAAAAACCCTCAAGAAATACTCCAAAATCTCTTGACATTGACTTACATTAAAAGTCATTTTGTTGCTGTCCAAAAAAAGGAAAAAAAATTACATCATTTAAACAAAGCAGTTGTCCTTTGCATTAAATTATGAATAGACCAACACATGCTTAATCAAATGTGCATGTATTTCAGAAAGAAGTCTACAAAAACTTGTTGACATTGTGGATCTATTTTTTTCTGGTGTTCTCCAAAACAGCATTCCTGCCTTTCCGCCTGCAGTGTGTTGATGTCCCAATCGTGAGTGATCAAGAATGTGAGAAGTCTTATCCCGGGATGCTGACTCGTAGAATGCTGTGTGCTGGCCATCCAGAGGGAGGCAAGGATGCTTGTGGAGTAAGTTTCAGTTTCAGGCTCTTCCCATTGTAGGAACATACATCTGAGCATGAGAGCAGTTGTGAAGTGGCTGTGACGTGATAACATGCAAACATTTAGGTGTTTTAGAATCAGAATATAAGGCTGTTTTCACATTACCAGATTGAAATGGCCTCTGACTTTCTGCCTTTATGTGACACGTTTTCAGAGCTGTCTGGACGCAAAAATCTGTTTTTAAATCAGGGGCTGAATTCACAAATGTGTTTTAACAAAGAAAATCTTCTTCATTGTTTTTTTTTTGTCCTTAAATTCCTAATTTAGAAAAAAATATTAAGAAAAATTGTTATTCTTCAAAAAACCTTTTAAGAATTTTCTTCATTTCAATTTTAACTTTTCAGTTATTATGCAGATTAACCATGATTACTTATAAAAATATAGGTTCACTGGTGGTTTTGGATAGTAAATATACAATAGTTGCGTTGTACATGTCCTAATCTGTGCCTGGTTCCTATCACCAGCACTGTAAAGAAATCTGGTGTCAGCATGTTTCCAATAAATATTTGCAAACAAACACTACTTTAAAAGTATGTTTGAGAACAGTTCTAGGGTTTTTTTTTCCTTCAAGAAATGTATTTAAGAATATTGGGTCTCTTTCACCAATATCTTCCTAAGTTTTTTCTTAAATTTGTTCTTGAGAAAAGCCCTAAGAAAAAGCCTACGTCAGATTCATGACGTGTCTTTAAACTGCAGAATCGTTCACACCTTTGCACTCTTCAGTGTGTGTAGATTCTCTTTTTACATAAGACCCAATCCCAAATAAGAAAACATTGGTAAATGTCAAAATAATCTTGAAAACTGTGTGAGTTTTGAACATCTTAGTGTTTGTCTTAAAGATCTTTCCTAAGCTCTTTCCTTCTTTCTTTCATGAATCTGGCCCCACATCTGAACCTCCTTTATATGAGGCCATAGACTGGATGTATATCCAACTTACGGACGTGTGACCTTAATGAGAATAGCCAGATCAGAATTCAAGTTTTTTTTAACTGTATTACTGTCATCATCCACTGTTGATTGTTGACAGTGTGGCAGCCCTGAGGTAACTTGAAGTTAAGGCCAGTAAAAGCAGCAAATGCAGTGTGTCTGGCCTTTTTTGCCTTTTTGTCCTAATCATGGCACAAATAATCAAAGCATGTAATTCTTGTCATGAGGGCTTGAGATGCTAATAATTCATTTTTTGTTGTTTATGACTCATGTGGATCATTCATGTAACATTACTGATTTGGACTGATTACGGGTCACTTACAAACATAAATGTGAACCATAAAGGCAGAAGGCTCGCATCAGCGGAAAAAAATCGGAATTGAGTAATAAGGTTTGTATCGTAACTGTATTCTAAGAGATGTTTTGTTGATCTGAATATTTTAAGCTTTTTTTTACTTTTTTCATTGTCAGAGTGATGCAGGCAGTCCGCTAGTGTGCTTTGGAGAGGTCCATGGACTGGTATCATGGGGGCAGGGCTGCGGTCTTCCAGGCTACCCTGGTGTATATGTAAAGGTGTGCGAGTTCCTGTACTGGATCAGAGACGTCATGGCAGCCAACCCTTAGAGTTTCTATCAATATTCCACTGCCCTTTGTCCGTGTTGTTCATCAGGCATCCTACATCACTACTGGAGCCCTTTCCTTCTTTGTGCTCAGCTCTGTAGGGCACTTTCCCCTCACTCATTAAAAAATAACTGACAAACTACAATTGGTATTCAAGAATAAACTCCCCAATTCACACCTCTTTTGTGTCAGTGAGTACAGTCTTAAACACATTCATCCCTACTGACTGAATTTAGTACAGAAAACCTGTCTAAAAACTAGGTTGATATTTCATACATGACCAGACAGGTGAGTGTCTGAGATTGATAATGTGCAATTTATTGAGATCTCTAGAATTTTCTAGAATTGTTACCTATTACAAGTATTATTGGGTGTCCATTATTAGCCGTTCTCAATCAAACTATCTGATATACATAGTAAATATGCTGTTTAAGGCAATGCTATAAATGTGTATTATCAAGAGTTGATCTGCAAATTTTCACGTTTTGTTTTACTCGCTAAATAATACCAACAAATCTGCAATCTGACTTTCTGTCTGAGCTGTCTGTTCTGTAACATAAATGTTGATTCAATTATTATAATTATATTCCTAGATCACAATGTTACATTCTGGATTATACAGTATACAGCACTTTACAGTATTTCTACTCTTAGTATGAGTGAGGTAGAATTTAAACTTGAAGACAGTTAACCACAATGTGATTATCAGTATAGTTTGATTGTGCCATGAATTACTTTTGTGGCTGTAATTCCAAGGCTGATAATCTTGAGAACGGACTATTTGAACAATGCGAGCGACATAATAAAATCTTTCATTACATTTCTATCCATAATGTTATCCTGCAGCTCTGTGCAACATTGTCAGGATGAGAAGTGTCTCTCTGAGTCCTTTCGACTATGTCGTCCTGTTGGAAACCATGTGTGTGATTCGCTCCTCTCCTCCTTAGTTCTCTCCTCCCTTTTTTTCTCTTTCGTCTTTTTAGCTGAAGTTGTAGGTCCCACCCATGGCACCGCAGCTGAGAAAAAGAAATAATAAAGAGAGGTTGACAGTTTTCTTTTCCCCTTTCCACCTAGCATTTTTCCAAATTCTGGCCACAAGATGTCACTGTAGACATTAAAACGTGTGTATTTTATTTGGCAGTTGGGATTCTTGGGCAGATAAGGTTCATTTTAAGGATTTTTTTTAAATGCAAACCAATACTTAAATACTTTGAAATGCTAATCTACAAATGGTGTGTGAAAGCATCAAGTAGAATAATTCCAAGATAAGTAATTTCCATTAAAATCAAAATTTTAAATTATTTTGGGAAATCACGGATGCCGCATCCTCTGGGCTAAAGAGGAGAGGGAACATCCAGCTTGTTATCAGCGCACAGTTCAAAAGTCAGCATCCATGGTGGTATGGAGGTGCATTAGTGCATATGGCATGGGTGAAGGCACCATTAATGCTGAACGATAAACACAGGTTTTGAAGCAGTTTTGCTGCCATCCAGATTACATCTTTTTCAGAGACAGCCTTGCTTATTTCAGCACGATAATGCCAAACCACATTCTGCATGTATTACAACAGCATGGCTCCATAGTTAAAGTGTTGGGGTGCTAAAATGGCCTGCCTGCAGTCCAGACCTGTTACCCATTACAAACATCTGCTGCATTATGAAATGAAAAATACAGCAGCTGAAATCCTATATCAAGCAGGAATGGGAAAACATTTCATGTTCAAAACTACAGGCACTACTTCACAAACGCTTTTGAGTGTTGTTAAAGAAAGAGGTGATGCAACACAGTGCTCTCTCCCAATGTTTTTGAAAGGAATTTCTCAGTTTCAACATTTGATATGTTGCCTTTGTACTATTTATAATTTAAACATCATTTCATTCTGTTTTTATTTATATTTTGCAAAGCATTCTAACTTTTTTGGAAATGGGGTTGTAGTTATTTACTTAGTGCAATGTAGGCCAGTATGCATCTTTTGCATTTGCTGGCTGCTAGATGTAACAGGCTCACAAGTAAGGGGCATGATAAAAGTGTCAAAGTGGAAATCTAAGTGGCGGCACTGGGGTTTACACTCTGACTATTTATGAGAGACAGATTCTTTACCGTACAATGACTAGCGTGAGTTGGTAGAGTAGTCAAGCTTAACGTTGGTTAATCTCTTTTGCCTGGCAAATTCTCCAAACTATCTATAACATTTCTTTCCTATTACAAAGTGCATAATGTATGGTAATGTAAAATGACACAAGCTTTACACATGTTCCTTGTTCAAAAAATATTAAAACAAATATCTTACTGTTCTTGCCTGACTGTAAGGATGATGGTTGGCTAGAAAATGACTCTTCACTGCAAGAGACAGAGATCATGTAAAAATTGCAAGTATTCATTCTCAGCTGGGTTAAGTTAATGCAAATGAGTTTGACTCAAAAAAAGATGGTCAGACATGTCAACTCTTTTGACTTTAGTCATAAGCAAGACAGTCTGCTTAACTTTGTCAATGAAATAAAAAAACAATAAATAAACATGATTTCTGACCTGTTGGAGAATGCTTCACTTTGATTTAGCTGGTTTTCTGAAGATGTCACACTGCTACCGGTTTTCTGCAGCCATAGAATAGTGTTTTACATTATCAGAACAAAGTAGGAAGTAATAAGAAGTACCCAATAGATGCTACATTGCTAACAGTCACTTGACATCATGCATTTCATTTGAATTGATTCATCATTTGATTCATCTATTTTTAAAATACCCACAAGTGTGTTCTACTGTTTTACCACGCATATTATGAAAAAGAAATACCAATGACCCATATATATATATATATATATATATATATATATATATAGATAGATAGATAGATAGATATAGATATGGAATTTTGTTTGTCCATTATTTTCCCAAAAAATATTTAAATAAATACATGCCATATATCAAATTATTTACCAATACCCATTTCATGCCAAAGTCTAAAAATGTCAGGTGGTGCAAGCATCCAAACATATACGTTGATTAAGTAAACTACCAAAATAGGCAATTTCGTTATATAAATTTTAAATAAAATCGTTTGGCATTATTTTATGTTCGAAAACTTTTAAAACAAAAATCATGTTCAAATGCCAAAAACAAAGGACTTTTGACATGCTTTTACGAAAGAGGGGCTAGGGTATTGTTACCTTCATGGTATATACAGGTGAGAAATTTCTCTCTGTATAACCAAAGACATTTCAATAAAGAAAAACATTTTGTAAAAGACCTTCATATTAAAAGAATTGTTAATAGTTTATATAGTCTAAATGTGACTAATAATATCATACTATAGAAGTGTCAACATTGGTAACAATGCCATATTTGATCCAGTGCTGTAAAGATACTCACTGAGCCACTGTGGCCCTTGGCCTGCATTCCTCTGTTGGAAGGCCTGACGTGAGGTCTGGGTGAGGGGCAGGGAGAGGGGGTGGAGTGTTTCGGGGGAAGTGGAGGAGGTCCTAAACTGGAGGTAGGAACCTGGTACTCCTCCTGTGATGCCTGTTACAAAGTTGAAAGGCAAAACTGGTGTTATTAAAATGTACAACTCTGCAACTAGAGCACATGCACTGAGTAAAGCTATGACAGAGAATCCAATAAAGTTTTCTAGCAAATAGTTTGTTTAATGTGTATTAAATGGGCAGTGTGCTTCCTCTTGTGAATTCTGACACTTTTCCTTATGTACTTCAAACAACCTGCCTTAATGGTCCTGTTTCATTCTGCAATACAATGCCAAATATCATTAATGTTGAAAGGGCAATATGATAGAAAACTGAGTTTTCCTTAGTTTGATTTAGCAAGTAAACGCTGTTAAAGTTTCAAAATGTACCCATCACTCTACAGTTCATATATGAATATTAAGCTGCAAAAATGTTTTTAATGCATTGCTTTTGTAATGTCATGAAAACCAATACATTCACATATTTTTGCCTACTCAGCTTACAGCAACTTAGTCTGCCCAATCACACTGAAGTTATATGGAGTGTTTCAGCCTGGCCTGTCTTTTGAATGAGGCACAATACAATGCTGCCAGCCAGAACAGAGGTAATTTAGGAACCACAGGGGAGATAAGCCTTTGGGCAGTTTTGTACTTTCTTGGACTATTTTTGTTTTTATTTTATGGCATAAACCCTTTTAAGATGCAAATAATGCTGTTTGTTTTAAAAATGTGAAATGGTCTAATAAAATACATCAATCAATCCATACATACAACTTAAAAACACAGTAATAAAAACAGCCCATGTAATTATAAGGCAGAAAGTGACGTTCACTAAAAAATGAATTTTAACTGTTTTTGGAATATACACCCACAAAACGTCATGACATTTTGAAAAAAGAAATGACAAAAAAATGTAGGACATGGCCACTTGAACAAATGTTATGCTAACACTGCTAACAATGGATAGACCACCAATTAGCATTATGTAATCTGCATGATGCTAACTGGTTTCATTCACTTTTTGCAATGCTAGCATTTTTGACTGAACTATTCCTTTAAAGTACAGAAGAGAGAACTTAATGGATACTTTTGACAAATATGACACCAAGCTGTCCAGACACAACCGCACAGCAAAGGAATATTCTACTTCACACATGCAGTGCATTCAGTCTCACCCTTTTCATCATGGCCAGTTTCTTCATGACCAGTTCCACATCTTCATGGTCTTCATCCTCATCATCCTCTTCCTCTCTCCTTCCAGTTAATGTGTCTCTTGTGGGGTTATATGGCTCTATAAGGATGGACTCTGTTCCTCTGATGTCACAGCGGCAGTAAGGGCAGGTGTGTCCATCTGACTTCTGAGGGTCAGGAATGATAATGTAACACTGCACACATAATCTACACATGCGCAAAACAAGTGTACACAGCAGAAGTGCTTCCTTTCATCTTGAAAGGGGCATCTTCACATTGCACAATACTTTAAAAGAAAGTTATTTATAACATTACTGTAAGGTTCATCATAAGCATATGTAATACATGCAAACTGAACTTTGTGTAAATGCACTGATATGCATCAAGATGAATGAGTTCATTGGAAAGTACTTTGACAGTAAGAAGCAGCAGAAATGCATGTGACCTACTCTTGTGCCTGAAAATGTAAATGCTTGTTCTCAGGCGTGACAGTGAATGTGAAAGCAGTGGAAAATTAGACACACACACACACACACACACGCACACACACACACACATATATATGCACTCATGCTTGATGAAGCACAGACAGGAAGTCAAACCCAAATCTTAGGTCCTATTGTGGTCAAATGTGTTTTTCACAACATTGAATCATTATCTGAATGATGCTAAGTTCTGTAATGCGTGGTCAGTTATTTAATTAGGGATATATATATATATAGACAGAGAGAAATATGTGTATATATATATATATATATATATATATATATATATAGTAAGGCTATTTGGCCCTCAATCTTTTCTTAACATGTACAGACCACTTACTCTCTATATAAATCCCCTTAATGGTTATATCAGTAAATGTTTAGAATACCTGCCAGCCGGTGAGGCAAGGCTGACAGAGCAGATGTCCACAGGGTTGGATGCGTGTGTCCTTGTCTCTTTCAGTACAGATCTTGCAAAGCTGAAATGTGCTGCCAATTTCACAGTATAACTCATACTGCTCCTGCACAGAGAAATTTGGTTAGGTATAGAGGAAGAGAGAGAGAGAGAGAGAGAGAGAGAGAGAGAGAGAGAGAGAGAGAGAATGAGAGAGAGAGACAGAGAGAGATAATTACTCTATTATTAGTAGCAGCAGGTATAGTACAAGTTTTAAACCCATAAAAGATAAATAATGATATGTATAAAAAATATATGTATAAAGTAAAAAATGACAATCCAAACCATTTTCAGTCAAATCAATTCAGTTCAATTTAAGACCAAAGAGTCAATTTAAGCCTATGGACAAATGGTAGAGTAAAAAGCATCTCCCTCAAAATAAAAAATTTAAAAAAAAAAGTTTCCCTGTTTCCCTAATAATATATATATATATATATATTATTATGCCAATCTCAAAAATCTGTGAGAGTCTATAAGAAGTGTTGTCAGCTGATGCATGACAAAGTAAACTGGCACTGTCTCCCTGCCAAACAGCAGACTGCTAGCATTTGCTGTGTTCTGATCACAGCTAACTATACCAATCGCAGTAAAACTCAGAAAACAGCCTCTGCGATTATTTCAAACCACTACTGGCTGCTGATTTACTGTAAGTTATGCTAAATTACCTCTGTGACCTTAACACGACCCTTCTGAGGTGCCATACACAGGCTGGTAAGGTCAGGGTTCACATCACGCCCATCTGGGTACAAGTAGCTGCAAATATACACATTCTTAATTATCATTTTACCTTATATTCTTTAAGATTTGTGTCGTGGAAGACACGACAAAATGCACTCACCATCCCTCTCTGAATCCTTTTATTAGAGCCTGGTAGAGAGGTGTGTTCTCTGGAATAGTTTGCACGATGCTGCCATCAAAGGTCACATGACCAATTGCCCATTGGCCCATTCGTGTGCAGCTTAGACGGAAGATATAGCTGCGAACAGAAGACGTAGAGAGATCCTAAATACTGCTACACAGCCATCTACTTTTGCCAACCTTTCAGCAGGCTGATCAGTGTACATATCTTAGTCATTGACTCCCAATATCATGACACAAGAATTTCAAGAGTTGTCATAAAAAGTTCCTTTATACAATCCCATTTTCAAAAATGTTGGGACGCTGTGCAAAATGTAAATAAATACAAAATGCAATGATGTGCAAATCATTTAAACCCTATATTTAATTGAAAATAGTGCAAAGACAACATATCAAATGTTGAAACTGAGAAATATTATTGTTTTTTGAAAAATATATGCCCATTTTAAATTGGATGCCAACACACGTTCTAAAAAAGTTGGGACGGGGCAACAAAAGACTAGCAAAGTTGTATAAAGCTATTAAAAAACAAATAATAATAAAAAAAAACACAACAGATCAGTATCATTATTGGGTATAAAAAAGCATCCCAAAGAGTCCTTCAGAGGTAAAGATGAGTTGGGGTTCACCACTCTGTGAAAGACTGCACAGCCAAATAGTGCATCAATTCAAGAATAATGTTTTTCAACATAAAACAGCAAAGAACTTTTGCTTTTCATTGTCTATGGTACATAATAACATTAAAAGATTAAGAGAATCTGGAGAAATCTCTGTACGCAAGGGACAAGGCCAAAAACCAGTATTTGCTGGCCATTTTCTTTGGGCCCGCAGGTGGCACTGCATTAAACACAGACATGATTCTGTAGTGGAAATCACTGCATGGGCTCAGAAACTTCTGAAAACAACTGTCTGTGAACACAGTTTGTTGCTGCATCCACAAATGCAAGTTAAAACTCTAAAACGTAAAGACGAAAGCATATATAAAAAGGATCCAGAAATGCTGCCACCTTCTCTGGGCCTGATCTCATGTAAAATGGACCGAGGTGAAGTGCAGAAGTGTCCTGTGGTCCAACAATACATGGCATGGGTGATGTGCACATCTGTGAAGGCACCATCAACGCTGAAAGATATATACATGTTTTGGCAACATATGCTGCCATCCAGGCGACGTCTTTTTTAGGGAAGGATTTGCTTATTTCACAAGACAATGTCAAACTAGGGTTGGGCGATATTGCAAAAAAAGTAAAATCTCGTTTATTTTCAAATTTATTAACAATTCCCGATTCCGATTTTTTTTTTTCTGGTTTTTGCGTAACGCCATTGGAAAAAGCCAATTTCTTTTGTGTGCTTTAATTTAAAAGACTGCAGAAGTGCAAAAATAGTAACAGCACCACCTATAATTATTAAATTAAATATCCTTTCAAGGGACTCAAATTGTGCAAGCACAACAAATTTTGTAACAAAAAAAAAACAATAATTAAAACATAAAAGAACCATCTTAATTAGTGGTATTCTTTTAAGAATAGCAAGCAGCTTCCTTAAAGATCACAAGCAACTCTCACTTAAAATAATGTGCAAGCATGACCTCCTTACATTTATTAAGTTATTTACAGGTTTCTTGAAAGGAACACAAGCCTATCTACTGTTTCAGGCTTGAGAGATGCCATTTGACAGGTAAAGACCTCATCAGACTTCTTGCGGAGCCAAAATTCGCCTGGCTTCAGCGAACAATGTGCCGCAATTGCGGAGAAAACGAACAACCGCAGACGGCGTGCGGAGGCTTTGTTCGCCGTGTCACGCACATGGCAGTTGGGCAAACTCCACAGACGAAGACGCTACGCTACCAGGGCTGTGATTGGTCGGTTAAAAAAGAGGCACGCCATGAAACGAAGATGGACAATACTAATACTAATATTTCTCTGTGAAACGCGCATCTGTTGAATGAACAATGAATACCTACTGAATGTAAGATGCTAAGTCTGTTATTCGGTAATACTAACTGAGCACCAAAACGTACAGGTTATCTTATATTTAGGTTCACAAGAGGACGAGGCTGAAGTTCTATTCACCAGCTTCTTGTTCGATTTTTCCCGTTCCACCTTATATGGTGGCGGTATTCTGAACTCAAACGTCACCATAGCTAGAAATATGAAAGAATCGTTTTCCGGCAGTCATAAAACTTATCATAAAATGCCATAGTGTCACGTGGAGCATCTGCGACAGGCAACACGAAACCGCGGAAAGTATGCAAGATTATAAGCTCGCGTAGGCGCTTTCGGCTTCGCAGAACTGTCGAGAATTTCTTTCTTAAGAAATATCCTGAGGCCGCCTTGACAGTGTTCCCAGCCGCACTGCAAACTCGCTCATTTTCATCGCGTTGTTTCACTTATTGCTCCCATTCCACTGAGTGTTTGTGTGCTGGACCAGATTCGCCGTACTGCTACATTTGGTTGCAACTGTCTTTCGACACAACTTACACTTTACATGCATTTGTTCAACATCTGACTTTTCAAATCCCTACCAGTTCCACACCACTGAACTGATGTGCACAGACCTGTGAGAGAAATTTGAATAGTTTCTGTGGGTATTTTAATTAAGGTACAAGCAATGTAAACATGTACAAACTTGACTGTCACATTTCTAACATCGCATGAAAATGTTAATTCGAATTAACCGAATTAATCGTGAACATCGCCCAGCACTATGTCAAACCACATTCTGCATGTATTACAACAACAAGTGCTCCGTATTAAAATAATCTGGGTGCTAAACTGACCTGCCTCCAGCCCAAACTTGTCATCACTGAAAACATCTGGTGCATTATGAAATGAAAAAATATGGTTTACATGATTTGCATATCATTGCTTTCTTTTTTCATTTACATTCTGCACAGCGTCCCAACCTTTTCGGAAATGGGGTTGTATTTTGGCAGATACAACAGCTTACCAATGCTTTTTGTAGCCAGCTAGGAGTCTTTTCATTCTCGTTTTTAAAATTTTCACCCACTTTTGCATAAATGTTTCTATTTCTCTGATGTTCTTGGGGTATCTTGCATGCGCGGCATCTACCCACAGATTTGTTCAGATGTTCAAGTTAGGGGACCATGAGAATGATTCCAAAAGCTGCAGCTTCTGTTTCTTGAAGTAGTTCATAGTGAATTTTGAGGCATGTTTTGGATCATTTCCTATTGTAGAAGTCAGCATATTTTCAGATTCAACCACTTTTCACATTTTTGACTGACCATGATTGTGTCACACTTGCTTCTAGAATTTGTTGACATTTAGTGTAATTCATTCTTCCATCTACCCATGCAATGTTTCCGGTGCCACTGGCTGCCACACAAACCCAAAGGATAATAGATCCACCCCATGCTTAACAGTTAACAAGCTGTTCTTTTCATCAAATGCTGCCCATTTTCCTTCAAACACACTTTCACTGATTGTGACCAAGGAGTTTCATTTTCACTTCATCAGTCCACAGCAATTGTTTCCAAAATGACCTGATTCTTTGCTGTCATATGGGGTTTTTGCTGTTTTTGTGGTCAGCATATGATAACATTTTTTGTTTTTTGGTCTTCCACATCTTCCCTTGACTTTTACAGCTTCCCATAACTGCCATTTCTTAATGACTTTACAGAGCGTGAAAATAGCAAGCTGGAAGCACTTTCACATCTTTTTATACCCTTACCTTGCTTTGTAGGCAATTAGTTTCATTCTTAGATGCTCAGCCAGCTGATTAGAGGAGCCCACGGTTGTTGACAGGTAATCAAAGTTTGAAAAAATCAGACAATTTTTCACGCTCTGGAATTTTGACAATTTCCAAGCCTTTTTTTTTTTACCTGCCTATTCCGTCCCAGCGAGTCCATTAAGGCCTAATTAGTTAGTTAAGTTCTGAGAACTTTGGGTGTCCAAACATTTGCACATGCCCTGATTACTATTTTAATATTTCCTATTTTTTATGTTTATTAAATATAAAGTAAAAAGCAGACTGCAGAGGCTGTGCAGAGGCTGTGCTTGCTTCTTTACACTTCATAAATCAATTTGGCCAGAGATACCTAAACTTTTGCATACAACTGTAGCTAGTTTTTTTTGGAGCTTGTTTTCTAGCTCATACTTAGAATGAATTCTGGCCACCAGAATTTTGAAAGATCTTAGCATATTGTTGCCGGATCTTAGCATATTGTATTTGTATTCTGTAAAGTAATGCAAACCTGTCTGAACTTTTCTTTCACAGAATACCATTATTCAGACTTAGACCACAGAAGAACAGACTATTCATACAATTCTGTCCTATTTCTACAGGTTTTTTTAAAGTGAATTGCATGATATTGTTTCACATATATGTAACAAAAAGTACTAAACTAAGTCTTCTGTGTAATGTTTTGATTTAAACATTTGACACTGAATATTCTTCATTGGCCCGGTGAGCAATCCAGTAAAAAAGGGACTGACTTGTTTTTATCTGAAAGTCAATCTGACATACTTTTTACCTTGTTAGTTCATTGTTCTGATCATATTAATCATGACTCATCATACTTTATCAATTAAAAGACAAAATTCTCATTGTTCCATAATCTTATGCCTGCCTTGAGAACATCTTCCAAGTTTTGATTACATCACTGCACACTAGCGGGTAGCAAAAAATAATATTAACCAATAATACTGCTTCACCACCCCCCACCACCCCTATCACCATGCTAAGTGCTCAGCTAGCTCAGAGACCCTGCCTTAAACCGTGTTTTACTTCTAAATATATATATCAGAGTATGTAGAGAAAATGCGAAATGATTTCCGATTCATGTTGCTCTAAATTGACTCTGGCATCTCAGCTTTTCTCACATTTCACTTTTTTACGCTTTCTAATCAAACATCACGTACCTGCCAGGACGATGTCTGTGGTGTTCCAGTCTGGCTATGACCTGGTCATAGGTGAGGAAGGCCATATATCCTGGGTGAGTCACTGCCAACTGATTCCAGTTCCTCAGCAGTGTTGACCAGGGCTGAGACAAGGACAGATTATAAGTTTAATGTTATTACAGTACTTTCTAAATATTTTACAACTTTACTATTAGAAAAGAAAGATCAAAAAGAAGATCAACAGAATGTTAAATCAGTAACAATACAAAACCAACATGAAAGAGCAAAATGTAGAAGCAATAGTTAAAAACAGCTGTTCCAGAGGATGAGTAGACACTCATTCACTCATTTACTAATAATGCCAGTTTACAAGTTTACACTACGAATTTACAGGTTTACTAATAATGCAAAACCTAAAATCTAAATCTCACACTTTGCAAAATCTCAGTAATGTTCTTGCCACATGTTTATATCATTGCTGTCATATCAAAACATTTTACTTTAAAAAAAAAAACAGCTTCCCTTTACATTGTGTAAAGCTTTTATATGTTTTATGTTACTATAATTATGTTAACAAATATTAAAATAAAAAAGAATTATTCTACTATAAAGTTACCATAAAAAGTGTTTTTACTTGTGATGATATACTTCATCATATAGTTTAAACTTGCAATTTTAACATGAAACTGTAACAAAAAATGCAGGTGAACCTGCTCATGAGGTATTCAGTACTTAAGATTACTATTTTTCTGAATAAAGATAAAATTCAACAATAAAAATTCAACAGTTTGGTCAACATATGAAAATAATTCTGCCTGTTACATGTACCTGAAAGAGCCTGGTGAAGATATCAAACTCAAAGATAGAAATGTGATCGTTGCAGGTGAGATCAACTGTCGACTTTAGGGCCATGGCCTCCATTCCCTCTTCAAAGCTGTGTACCCGTCTCAACTGCTGCTTAAAGTTGCTCCACTGAACTATACACCTGAGAATGAACGAGAACAAAAAGGAAGTATACTTCCTTACATTACCGAGAGAAAACCTCACCCTGTGCTTTTGAGTACATATAGCATGAAACAAACTTCAAACCTCAGAACTGCATCGGATGTATGATGAGGCACAATAGAAGACAGTTCAAAATTTGTATTTTGGACTTTTTGAACTGTAACATAAAATAAACATACTGCATTAAAGCAGCATGTCACTTAAAATCATGAACCACATGCATGCATAGAGAGCTTTCTTGTCATATTCACCCACTTGTATCCAAATGCTCTCCTCCAGAACTCCTGTGCCTCTGTCTTGGTCAGCTTATACACATCACCCTGAAATCGACCACCTGGATACATGGCTCGTAGCTCCCATAACATGTGGCTGAACAGCAGAGTAAGTTTAGTCAAGTTTCTCCTGAAAGAACAACATATAACATTGTTACCTTAGCATGAATACATAAAAATGTAGGTACAATTAAGCATTTTTCAGCTGCAATGAGTCAGAGGTTTAATGCCACTGCTGAACAAAACTCATTCACAGATATTTATAAAATGCATTGATATACATACATGCATAATATAATCTAACATAATAAAAAGCTATTGTTCTTCTTTACACTATTAATACTGATACACTTACAAGCAAATGTGCACTTAAGAGAAAAACCATGTACATATCCACATGTAAACGCATGCATGCAAGCTACTACAAACAGGAAGTCACAGTCTGTCATTTCCTGTCCTGAATCTTTGTAGCTCTGACAGAATTTTCCACTGGCGAATGACCATACATAGGTTAGAGCCCTGGCAACAGAATCAGCACAACATAGAACTGCTATGTTTTACCATCCCCTTAAGCTATAATATTTAATTAAACTTTATTAAAAGTTACATTTCTATTATGAAAATATAGGCTCTTTAACTATAACAATGCATAGTACATACTTACATACATTTAAAAGCTAGTACTCTTGTAGACTATCATTAGAAAAGTCCTACTTTAACTTAATTTTCGTAACTGTCATCATAATCACCATCATCTACAGCAATAGCAGTAGCCATGGCAGCAAACAAATATTTCAAATAAATGGTAATGAACAAAAAATTTCTTTTTATTGATCCTTAAAATTAACTTTGCACGTGGCAACGTTTGATGCAAGATGACACTATCTCATGTACAGCTGCATGCCGTATCATCCTTTCCCTTCACTTAATGCAGTTCCTTATGCATCTTGCTCTCTCTTCAAATTTGCATTACATGGGCCTTTCACATTTGCTTGCGATTATGGTCAGTTGAGCGGCAAGTAAAGACAGCCTTGCAAACTTTCTAAAAAGTGTTTGAAGGGGCTCTAAATGACCACCTCTGCTGATTTTTTTTTTCCATCTTGACAGGTTGAGCACTTTTTTACTTCTTTCTCTGGGCTACCAGCTTCCTGGCCACAAACCTCTCACTGTACCTTTCAGTCCTTCCACAAGCTATTTAAAACTCTTTTCTTTCAAGGGCTGAAGTTTCCACTGGTCATTGTTATAACCTTGTTTTCTTTTTTAGCCCAATGGTTCCCAATAGTTAATGAAATATGGTTCATTTTGTGAATAGATAGTAAAGTAATTATGTTACTGATCTGTGGCCAGAGATTTAAGGTTCAACCTCAATTTGCATAAGAATATGTTTCCCTTTTTTTGAATTACCACAGTGCGTCCCAGAAGCACCATTATTCATAGCTCACAACTGAACACATCACCAAATCTGTAATGTCAAAACCAGGTCTATACATCTCAAGTCTTCAATTCTGAGTGTAGGGCAAAGTTCCAAGACATGCTGGGAAAGTATATTTTTATACGCTAACATACTATGACCAGGTCACATCAAGACATTTAATAGAAAAGAGTTCTCTGCTAAATTCAGCACTTTTTACTTATCTCTGTTATACAAATATTTCACAGAACTAAATATCGCTCATTTTATAGCAGTGTTCACTATTTTATCTGATACAATCTGGCTGTACTAGATTACTGCTTCTGCACTAAAATGGTGTCTCAAGACATCAACTGTTGTGGTTTCATCTGGTCTTATTCTTTATCTTGATATTCCAGCTATTGAATTAAACAAACATTGCGGCTGCTTCGGACCTAGCCAACAGAATTATCTAATTGTACATCACTATTTAGATGTACTTAAATAATTAAATAGGTAAATAAAGTTACATGTACAGTATATCTAAGGTCTGTTCCGTCATGTTCCGAGTTCAAGTATGACCAGGTCAAGGCCATAGTTCAAGTAACAGGTGTATTTTTCACTTTGGTAAGTCAAACCAAAGTTGTGACCTGTTTGCGAGTCACTCAATTCTAAGTCATTTACTCTAGTATTACCAGAGGTGAGTAGAGTAGCCTAAACTCACACTCAAATCAAAGTATTGCCACATCTGTGAAATAACGACTAATGAAGTACATGTGAATAATGAAGTAGAAGTAAAAGTACATTTCCAAAAACTGCTTGAATCAAGGTACACAAGTACTTGGTCAAAAAACTATTTTAAGTTCTGAGTTGACCTGCAGTGGAACTTCATAGTACAGCTAGTATCTCTCAGCAGAGGAACTAAAGTTTTGTTGGGCTCTGTTCTTCTCTTTTTAAGATTCTTTTGGTCTAACTTAAAATGCTGACACTTCAAAATCAGAGGCGTGATCAATCACAAAGTATTAAAGATGCCATACTAATCTAACATGATAAAATTGCACACCAAACAACAACAACAACAACAACAACAACAACAAAAAAAAAATAGCTCCTTATCATTATGTGAAAATATTCATCAGAAGTTTGGAATTACAATTCACAAGTTCAGAATCACTTTTAAAAAAAAATTGCGGATTGCAGATACATGAGAATGTGAAATTATTATTTTACGATGCTACTGCTCTACAACCTCACATATTTTCACATATTTCAACTAGTCAGTAAAAAGCTACAAAAAAATACATAAGTGTTAGATGTGTCCAGAGTAACGAACAGGGCTGTAGATAAAGCAGTAAAACATCTTAATGAAATTAAAGTATAATTAACATCCAGAATATCTCATAATTGAAACGTGGTGATCAAACCTCAGGCAGATAGGCTATCAAGAAATTGCGATAAATAATTACAGTACTTTCTTCAATCATTTAGTAACTTTTTGGTGTTCCCAGAAACTTCAAATATTAAATAAAAGATCTTGAAATGTCTTTTAATGTCTAGCTTATAGTATTTCTGTTGACACTGTATAACTTAAGATTAACAACTAATATGACAATTAGCCATTAATCATAATCATAATGATTTGTATGACAAGTGATTCCCAACATTTAAACACTAGTGTACATGTAACTGAGTAAATGTACCTAGTCACTACCCAGCTCTGAGCATTACATACAAAACTCTTTGGCACGGCAAAATCTTCTAATACAACTTCTAAGGTCAACTTTTTCGCAAGCCAAAGTTTGAGCTGCATGATCCCCCTTTACTATTTGGCCGCTTCACGTTTCTAATAAGACAGTATTACCATTATTCATGTATACTCATATATTGTTTGTAGTCCATGTAGGAAGTTTTCGAGTGGAGCATATTCATGGAAATTGAAAAGCAAATGCTTAAGTATTGCTGTACAACAATGTTTTCTGCTACCGCTAGCTAACACCTAACAATGATGATTTAATGGAATGCTTTTCATGAATACTTTTTCAGGGTAAAATTTTGGGAGAGGTGTTTTGTTGGTATGTGTGAATGACTACCAGTTTTGTTACTGTGTCTGTATTATTTGTGTAAAGGTAATACAGTTTGCAAAAGCTTATTATAATGGTAATAAGTGAACATGTTTTCACTTAAAAAAATAAAAAAACATTGTTTGATCAGAGATGTTTACACTTTTGCATATGACTGTACATGATTCATGTGGAGAACATACAAAGTGAGGCTGGCATCTAAAACGATCCCATACAGAGACTTATTCACATTGCTTATGCCCGATAAGCAGAGCTTGTAAATGCCAGAAAGAAGGTAGCAGATAAGGGATATGCACCCAACTGTTTTGTCTGGACTTGTCTGGTCTGAAATGCAACACTGCATGTCACCTACACGTCTCACACAATTTTTGAACTTGCTGCTGTACCACACAATTCTATATCCTCACGAAACTTTACATTTTTAAAGATTTGGACTAAATGTTGACTCTAACCTTCAAAATTTGCTTGTTTGCTCAATTGTCAATTGTTGAACCACAGGTCAAATGGTGAAATTGTACCAAGGTTAAATCGTACCATTAATGAAACACAAAAAGTGTTGACGCAACATTTTATTGCTTGAAATGTAATAGTTCCCTCAGGAGAATAGACCATTTTGATCTTGTTTCTTCTCTATCTCAATCTTTTTTGCTTATTCTGTTTTGTGCATTACTTTTGTGCTAAAATTAGCTCTATTTTCATTTCATTTTGTTATTCATTTACAGGTTTTTTTTTACACAGCTTTTCAATTAGATCTTGAATTATCTGCATTTTTTCTTGTAAAATCTTTGAGCTGTATTCCATGTGTATCGATTCACTATTTTTTCATTATCTTTCTTTAAAACTTTATTTAGCTGACTGTGCGTGTGAAACCTGCACAGGCCGATGAATTTGAATGTTACATTTCTGTTTGTAGCCTTCTATAAGAAACACGTCCGTACTTGGACATAATGCCTGGCTGCTTGTTTTAACTGCCAGAAGATTCCCTCTATTAGCATCATAATGGCCGAAGCTTCCAGAACTCATACACATGGGGCATTAGTAGTCAGAGTAGCTCAGCCACTTGGCCCACTCTTAATGTAGAACAGGGACAAAACTGGCATGCTACTTTCAATTTACGCAGGAGTCAAAACAAAATTACCAACCTCTTTGGCTCTTGACTATGAATATGGACACTGAATTGTTGCAACAGCCATGAATGGACAATCTGGTAATCCAATTACTTCTAGATTTTAGAATGATGTCACTTCTCTGAGACAGACGACATGATGTTCTAATAATAATAATAATAACAATAATAATAATAATAATAATAATAATAATAGCTGCACAGCTGTTTTCAAAAATCTACTTGTTTAAAGACGGTTAGCAGAAGAGGTCATGTGGTCTCAGTAGCACCTGAGCTATATTTAGTGCTTTCCTTTCAATGGATTTGTGACACTGCATGTTTGCCTTTTAGTGTATCTATTCAGCTGCAGAAATAATTTCCATTTTTTGTGTTTGTTTATTTTTTACCGTACATTGTTGATCAGAATCTTTCTTGTATATACTCTATGGAAGCTGTGATGATACCCTCCTATGTATTGGGAGTGATCCTCGATGTAAAAAGTTGTCAAATGTTCTTTTGAGGCACTCACAATTTTTAATAAACTCAACATGTTAAATTTCTTCTTAGGATTTTCAGTTATAGAACTTGTGAGAAACAAAAAAGGAAAGCATTTTAATATAAATAGCCATGATATATATATCGTCGCTGTCGGAACACAACCTCCATTTCTGTCACTTTTAATTTATTTACATAATTTTAAACATATATATATATATATATATATATACTTCCATTAAAAGTTAAAGATACCATTTTGGAGACACGACATTCTGATGCAACTGTGACGTTTCGGCACAAGTACTCTTTTAGGAATGCTCTTATTACAGAAAGGAAAATTAAGATACAAGCCGCCACATGAAATTTCCTTAACTTTTAACATTCTGGTCTCACCTGTAGCTAGACTTTTCCTCAAACATCCTGTCCTTGCCCTCTTTAAACAGCATGATGGCCCTGTCCGTCTTGTCCAGCAGGTGTCGGACATGGATCTTCAAGTATTCCCCCTCATTCTCCCGCGGCACGGCTGGGACTGAACCCTTATAGGGAGCCCATACCTCCATTAGGAGATTTGCAGTCTCCGAGACCAACTCAGGTAGGTACGGTGGACTATTCTTCAGACCTAGCCGTGGGTCAGTACAGAGCATTTTCAGTTTGGCTAGTCTTTTGAAGACCTTGTTGAGGAGTTTAAGGTCAGCGCTGCTGGGGGGCTGGGATGCAGCAGAGTTGGACGGATCAGGTTCAGGGCTTCGGCCTAAACCCCCTGCACTTTCAGCCATTGCCATTAGGAATGTGAGGTGGCGCCCTTCTCCCTAGGTCTGCTGATCCAGTGGCCTTACACGAAGAGATGCACATGGAGTGATAGCTAGGCCGTGTCTTTAAGTCTGGTGAAGATATAGCATGTGTCTAGAAGGGCAGTGATCCTCAGTGGTTACTGATATCAATCACTTCCGTTATACAGCTGACTGAAAACTGCCCCTGTCTTTCTTTGCCAAATGATGTAATATGACACTCTTAATAATGTAATCTTTAATTTAAATATATATCATTATGTACAGTTTTTTATCATGGAGGGTAATGTACATGTGAAGCCGACTACTGCTCACCCAACAGTTATGTAGCCAAGTGAGCAGCTCCCCAAAGTCTCTGTATCTCACTCTGCATTTTGCGTATATATGGAGGCACTTCCTGAGATACTTTGTGTCCTTTTAACTATGGAGAAGAATGAAAAGATACTTTAGACAGCATTTCAAGCAACCTGATTAACCAGTATCAATATATCCTCTTTTCAGAGGTCATCTTACCATGCTGATCCCTTAATCAATGATCCATTTTGCAGTCCGTCTTAAAATCTGTTGCGTAATCCAACTCAAACCATGTCATACTCCCACCGGTTTCATCAAACACTAAACGGTGTTGAAGAACATCTACATTTTCTTCTCCATTAGGAGCAAAGGAAAGAAAAGAGCAAGCCTATAAATAAAGTGACCCATGTTAAAACATCTTCAAAGGTTGGTCTCAATTGACTTTTTCCCCAAGACTCAAAAGCAACCACTGCAAAAACTCACAGAAATAAAAGTCTTACATTCCCATCCCGTCAAGCTTCTTTCTTCTGATAACAGCAGTGGAGACAACATCAATTTGAACATGGAGAAATATTCTGAAAAAATGCCTTCTGCTGCCTGTTCCAGCAACCTCCCACCCCTTCACTCTCTCTCCGCCCCTTCTTACTCACACTCTCTCACAATCTCTGGCACCCATGTGGTCTCACTTTTCACTTTTGCTGTCCATCTTATTCTGTTGTTTATCATCAATCTAAACACGGGTGCCAAAAAAAGTACGCTCTGTATGCTTAGGACAGGAAGTAGCTTAGTTGTAGACATTTGTGTTCCTCTCTCTCTCTCTCTCTCTCTCTCTCTCTTTTTTACATGCCCTGACTCTTTGATCAGTTTCCGGGTGGTAGACAGGCAGACAAACAGGTTTGTTCAGACCTCAAGAGGGCAGAGAGAAAGAGTGTAAAGCCATAACACATATGTATAGGCTACCACATAAATACAAAAAACCTAAACAAAAAAAACTCAGTATGTATGTATGTGTGGGTCACAGATTGGGGGTGTGGATAAGCAAAATGGAAAAATAGCAGTTATTTTCAAGAACAACTGTAACTACATGTATATGAGGCCGAGACAATACATACTTTGTATTTATTGTAATGGGTATATTTACTTACTGTGTATTTAGGGTGACTGTACACTAGATATAGGACAAGCAGACCCACAACAAAGATCTGATTCATGATCAAACTTTAAAAACATGTACTTACTTTCTCTCAAGTAGCATATGGCTCCTGTACGAAAAACTCTCAATCAGAGTAACAGCATCTACTTTTATCTCTTAAACTTAGACTGGACTCACTCAATCATGAATCTTTACTGCCCTCTAACTGACAGAATTTATATTACATGGCCTGGTCACACTTGCCTCATCTATTCATTCTAGTACTTTCTCTTTAAGAATAATAATCTTACAGTAAATTAGCATTTTTATGTATTTAAAAAATGGAAACAGGCAGACTCAACAAGGGCAAATAGCTAGGATACAGGCAAGAGTTTGCAAATAATTAAACCAAATAACTGAGTAATTATAGCAGTTCAAGCGTTGAGATGTAAACAAAGTCAGTAAGAGTGGTTTGATGTGAAACACTCCGTTCCAGAGAAACTCAGAGTCAGAACTGTTTACAGTGGTGGTGAGAGGAACCGGATATCTGAAGAGTTTAATGCCTCTAAAAGCTACATCACAAAGTTTTCAGATGAAATGGTTATGAATACACTGTTTTGGCTATGAATACAGTGTTTTGTGATCAGGTTCTGACCTAAAAAGTCTGTTTAAAATATGCAGCATGTTGTAAGGAAGAAAAATCTGCATAGAAAACTTTTCTTTTCACATTTATCACAATTTAACCTACATTACATATAAAAACTCAGACACATGTAGGTTCACTGGTCGTTTTGCATAGTAAATAAAATTTATATTCTGGTTCCTATCACCACCACTGTAAAGAAATCTGAGTCAGTAAGTTTCTCTACAATTAACCACTTCACAAATAAATGACTTTGTTTACATTAGGTGTCTTAACACTACATGGAAGGGCTAAAAGAATTAAACTAGGGGAAAGAGGGTGACAGGGATTAGAACTCCTTTGGTGAGACAGAAGGTCCAACCAGGGGAAAAGAATAATGCAAAGTCTTTGGTGAATCACAGGGCAGGGAAAGGCAGAATCCTATAAGTGGATTTGTTTCCACAAAGGCTGGACGATGCTCCCTCAGACTCTAGATGGCGCTCTCTCCCTGAACTACTCCGTTGATTACTGAATTTTAACTAAGCAGCAAAAATCCAAATATGCTTGTGAATAAAAACTTAAAAGGGACATGTAGTCATAAAAATTCAAATAGCCTCTATTAGATGATCATCCAAATTATACAATGGGTTTTATTAGAGAGGATATATAATCTTTGGTTTTACCTTTTGTGCTAATGTGTAACATATCTTCTCTTCTTCCCCAACTTCTCACCTAATTTGCACAAAAAAACCCCTTTTAAAAATATGGTACATAGTTGTCAGTGTTAACATAGAGAGGTCTGTTTTTCTTGACATTACGCAAGTTTCCTTCAAATTCAGAGTTGTCAATAGACACGGACGTAAAATAACAAACCGATGACATGATCATCAAGCGCGCCATCCGCTTCCACTATTTAGCGTAGCATATACTCTACCTGCTATTCAGCAGCAGTTAACATTCATAAAACGATTAATTTTCATTTTTCTACTGTCTGTACATTTTGAAAGTAGCCCATGCATGCAGTTTCAAGCCAGTCCAACTGACTATTTGCAAAATTATAACTCACACGCCTCTCAGCCAATGACAATCAACCTGCAGTGAGAACAGCAGTGGCGTTCACATGTTTGCAGTAGACAGACAATGGCAAACCTGATGTTCTATTATTTTCAATGGGGCCACGACTGAGAATTTTGCCACTGCAAGCAGCAACAGTTTACAGACCACAGCGGTGCACGGAAAGATCAGTCACAAGATCAGTGTCCACAACTTTTGCCGTTGAACGCAGTGGTGGAATAAAACTGGTGTTGATTGTTTGGGAGCCATACACGCCAGACGTCTCCTTGTTGAGTTCCAAGTGAACCTAGTATTATACAATACAATATACAGGGTTCATACACCTTTTCCAAGGTCAAATTCAAGCACATTCAAGGTCCATTTTCAAGCTTTGCCAGCACCTTACAGCTGTAGTAAATTACATATTTATACAAATACATACATACTTAAAATAATTAATCATATTAAAAGAGATGGTAGTATGCTATAAACAACCAGAGTTGTGTTTGGTAATAGCAGAATGATATGAAATTAAAGGAAAACAAATATGCTTTATGTTTGAAAAATGTGTCACCTGTTTGTAAGTAGACTTTCCTTGCTATCTAACCTCGCTGTGCGAGGATAAAACAATTACCCAAAAGAATCAATGGACAAATAACTTCACTTCCAATAAATTCTTCCAAAAAATTACAACATTCACCTTTGAGGTAGGCAGTCAATCAGCTCTATAACTTTTTCCACAGTATTGTGCAAATCAAAATAGGAATAGTGGTTAGTTACAACTTGAAACCAGACCGGCAGATCGCGGTCACACACTACCTAACGGTGTACGGGTCGCGAACGAGCTCATTGAGCCAGGTCAGAGGTCGACAACTCAAATGCTGAATATAACTACAAAGCGTTTTTCCTTTTTCCCCCTCAAATAAACAGTCTGCACTGCTAGCTAAAGCTCTCCTCTGATACTCATCCATTTTCGCCGGTATGGTCACCATGCCAACGACTGCGTGGCTTCAAGTCGCCATCGGTCGCGTATCTCTATGAGGTGAGAATGACGTTTTTGTTTTTTCAATGCAAACAAGTGAAGGCTGCAATAGAAATAGCGGGAAAGTGTTGCTAAGAAAAGCAGGCCTTTAGTGACTTACACATCTTGATCTGGATCATCTGGATGATTGTGGTGTTTTTGTTTCATTCGGGAAGCTGAAAAATGTTGATCTAAGGTGACCAAATTTCTGAAGTGAAAACTAGGGACATTTCCAGTTCAGCAGACAATATATCATTAACATTTCCAGTGTTTTTATCTATGAAAAAAATGAAGACCAATCCAGCTTAATGTATTCTGACAATGGCAACTGCTGTACTGTAATAAACTATGGTAAAGGCCAACTGATAAAACTGGGTACTATCTATGGTACTAACTAGGTAACCTTATGTCATATATGAATGGCTGAAAAAGTGACGCAGTTTAGAACATGGTGCGCTATTTGTAGATCGCATCGTAGTCTAAATGCAAGTATATTGTATGCCTATACAAATCAGGTAGCCTACCTATCACCTGGTAGTACGATTCGGCCCCGTAACCCCGCCCCTGTCTGCCTGAGTTATCTCTTGTCCTGAAAAGACGTTTGTGGTGATGTGTGTTTACTCTCCAAAACTAGGCAAGCAAGTGGCAGAATAAAACAGTAAGCTAATTTATTTTATGAAACAGTGGCCAACATAAAATATGATGAAATACTTTTTTTCAGAAAATAATGTGTTATTATTAATAATGCAACTAGTTCTTTTAGCCTATGGTATGGTTGCCAAGCAACCATGGACTGCTGAATGAGAACAGGAATGTTCAGTCTGCTATCGCTGTACATTGCGGTCATTTCACGAACTTTTTAACTTTTTTGTCTTATAACAGAACATTTCATAACACAGCACTGTTTAATGCAAAACATTCGCTTGATAGGTACTTTAAGGTCACTAAATTACCACCGCGAGTATTATAGCACCAACCCAACCGCGCCCCTCATCCCGCTCTGGGGCTGAACCTCAAATGGCGCCCTGCTCCCTACGTAGTGCAATACATAGGAATTTAAATACTGGCTTCTGCACCCCAACACTGCATAATTTAGTAAAATAGCCATTTGGAATTCAGCCAAATCCATACTCAATAAATAGTGCCTTATCTGGCTGTAGAAGCTACCTAAGTTTCAAACTTCCCTAGCACACTATTTAGGGAGTACGAAGCTGTTTGAGATTCAGCCTGGGTTTGACCTTAACTGAAACACGGACAATTGAAGCGTGTAAGCCATTCAAGTGACATTTTTTAGTCTCTTATATTGCCGCTTTACCGCGAATCGTATCGTAGGTACTTTAATTCAAGTCTGTGATATTAATGATGACACGTGTTTAGCATGTTTGATATCTTTTCGTCTGTTAACTAGTTGACCAGTCTAGCGCTAGTTAAGAAAATCAGTTTAAACAGAAACTGGTTCTTACATCGTCAGTACACTCGATGGTTCATCCCAGCAGTAGCAGAATCAAAGATTATTCCAGTAACAGCACAAGGAGTGTTCGTGCTGTGGCGCAGTAATACAACGTTCAGTTGTTGTGAGGCGGTCATATTCGCGTACTTTACATCGGCTTTGAACGCTGTTCAGCCAATCAGATTTTAGGACCGGAACTATCCGTTTTATAAATGGTTAGTAGATCGCAGCAACCATCCCCGTCTGTTGGACAAAAAGAAGCACAACGCGAAATGTCTGCTCTACTGCCACAACCTTTGTAGGATTTTCCAGTGTTTTTAATTCACAGTTAAAAAACGGGGACAGCTCCGGCCGGGGACAGACCACCGAAAACGGGGACTTCTGTTGACCTTATGTTGATCACAAGTTACAGCTCAGTGTAAAAATGATGCTGACTAAGGTAAGCTAAGCTAACCATGAATTATCTGGGTTACTGTATATGCTAAAAATAATTTTAATATGATGCTAATATTGACTAATAATGATGAATAATTAATAATTAGTAATGATAAGTTTACAGAAAACAGTTAACTTTGTAGCTTCTGACAGTTAATAAATGAGTTAGATTTAACAGAACTGTTCTCAAATTTGGATTTAAACATTGTGTGTAAGTAGTAATTCACTAGCGCACGTCATTCTTTGTGTTGTTTCATTAAAGTTTGCTGGAAGACCTCATGTAAAAGGCGACTAATACTCCTCAGCATCTAACACTGCTCTGAGTAGCTCCAATGTTAACTTTAGCATTAGCTCATCTGAAGGGGACACTAACCACCTCCTTAGACATGAAAACCTTTAACGTCAAGTGACTGAAGGATTTTCCTGGTTTGATTGATGTAAACATGGTCTCCAAAATCCAGGACTGAGCATCTTGTAAACCCAGCTTATTTTTACTTTAAAAATGTTTTAAATATACTCCTCTGTGTGCTTCAAATTTTTCCTTTGTGCTGCTGAACTTTTTAGTCTGTTAGCACAAGTGGGACAGTCCATAGGGATGCTACTATGTAGCCTGAACTGAAAGTTTGATGTAGAAAACTGAACCTGGCAACTCTGAAGTGAATACAGTAGATCATCATGTAGAGCTAATAGGTTGGAGAATAGGCCATTGAAAAAAAAAAACCTTCGTGCTCACTTTAGATGCACCTATCTAACCTAACTTCTTCAGAAGTCATTGATTACCTATATTGAATATGCTGCGAATAGGCTGAATGAATAGGCTGCATCCAAAACTGCAAACTACTATACTACACATACTACATTGCTGAATGCACTACTTTTTGTGGTGTACTATTTTAACACACCGTTTGTTATGGTAGTATGCAGTTCTTAGTGTTAGATGCAGGTTGGAACTACGCAGCAAAGTAGATCTCCAGGAGGAGGACGGGTGATGACTGCTCAGTGGCATCAAGAGCTACCTAAATCTGCCTTCATGGATTTATTAATCACATAGTTTTGGATACACCATGTCAGAATTGTGAAATGAAACAAGTTATCCAACAAGTCCACTGAGAACACAGATTATCCCCTCTCCTTTGTAAACACAGGATGCCAATTACACATAGTGGAGAACTTTAGTCAGCGCCCCCAATAATTATACTGTTTAAATGTAAGTTAACTTGAAGCAAGTTTACTTGAAATATTTACTAAAATCCTACCAGTTTACCTATTTATAATGTTAGAATAATAGCTTATTATTTATATCATATCTTCCTCTTCATATTGTTATTATTATTATTATTATTATTACTACAATTATTATTACTGTTATTGTTGTTGTTGCTACGTGTATGACATACAGGGGATGCTAGCAAAAAGAGGCTTTTTTTGTTGTTACTGGTTTATATTTTATTTCTGTTCCTGTAATTATAATTCTTAAATTATAATCTATAACAATATTTAGATAATGCAATAGACAGTATAACAACTGATCAACAAAACCTTGTGGAGGCAGGTGTAGCATAAAATGGACCGTTTTTCTGAAATAAAAGAAGTATTCAAAATGGTTCTGTAATTATTGTGTTGAAGACCACCCAAGGAACCCCCTTTGTAAGTCTGGGAGTGTGCAGTCCTCTCCTTTGGGAAGATTGTAAAAGCTTTGATACAGAGATACATACAGACACAAAACCAATCTGTAATGTACTATAATTTCTGAATTTGAAGCAAATTACAGTTCTTCAGTATGGCTGAGGAAATGTTTTGTGTTAATCAGCTCTCATCAATAGGGGGCCCTGTTTCACATTGCCTTTTGATTCTTAAACATGAATTGGAAATGTATGAGACTTGACTTCTGATGTGTGAACTGTTTTTGGTCTCCTGTTATAACAGAGCTTTAAGACACAAAACTACATACTCTATAGGGACAAAAGTATTGGGACATCTACACATTACACCTACAGCAGCTTTCATGACATCTCATTCTAAATCCATAGGCATTAATATGGAGTTGGTATATAACAGCTTCCACTCTTCTGAGAAGCTTTCTACAAGATTTTGGAGTGTGTCTGTGGGAATTTTTGCCCACTCATCCAGAAGAACATTTGTGAGGTCACTCACAATAATGTTGGATGAGAGGCCCTGGCTCGCAATCTCTGTTCTAGCTCATCCCAAAGGTATTTGTTTGGGTTGAGGTCATGGCTCTGTGCAGGACAGTCAAGTTCTTCCACACCAAACACGCAGCCATGCCTTTATGGACCTTGCTTTGTGCACTGGGGCACAGTCATGCTGGAACAGAAAATGGACTTCCTCAAACTGTTCCCACAAAGTTAGAAGCATACAATTGTCCAAAATGTCTTGGTCTGCTGAAGCCTTAAGATTTCCCTTCACTGGAACTAAGGGGCCTAGGCCTACCCCTGAAAAACAAATCTATAGCATTATCCCTCCTCCACCAAACTTTACATTTGACACAATGCAGTCAGGCAGGTAAAGTTCTCCTGACATTCGCCAAACCAAGACTCGCCTATCAGGCCAGATAGAGAAGCATGATTCGTCACTCCACAGAATACATTTCCACTGCTCCAGAGTCCAGTGACGGCATGCTTTACACCACTCCATCCAGCGCTTGAGATTGTGCTTGACGATGTAAGGCTTGCATGCAGCTGCTCGGCCATGGAAACCCATGCCATGAAACTCATGGCATGATGCTGATGTTAATGCTAGAGGAGGTTTGGAACTCTGCAGAGTGTTGGCAACTTTTATGGACTGTGAGCCTCAGGACTCAGCGACCTTGCTCTGTAACTTTACATGGTCTGACGCTTCGTGGCTGAGTTGCTGTGGTTCCTAAACGCTTCCATTTTTCAAGAATACCACTCTCAATTGATTGTGGAATATTTAGGAGGGAAGAAATTTTGTGAACTGACTTGTTGAAATGGTGGCATCCTATTACAGTACCACACTCAAGTTCAGTGAGCTCTTTAAAACAACCCATTCTTTCTCAAAAGCAAAAGCAGACTGCATGGCTATGTGTTTGATTTTATACACCTGTGGCAATGGGACTAAATGAATTCAATGATCAAGGGGTGTGTCCCAATGCTTTTTATCCATGTAGTGTATTAAAGACACTAAGATGTGTTCATATAGTTACATTTTACCGCTGTATTTGCTAATGTAATTACTTTGTTTGTTTATCTTTCCCATTTAAAGACCTGCCACAGCATAATACAGACTTTGCATGTAAAGTGGTAAAGATCAAAATAGATAAACTTCAGCTTCTGAAGACTGAACTGCAGTGCTGTTAGGCCTGTCACAATTATTACATAATCGCCCAATCACAGTTATTTCAGATAATCACAGTTATTTAAGATGATCTAAATTATTTTAACTAACCTCGATTTCACAGTCATATTATGCTGCAACAAACAAAATGTGAACTGAGTTTGGTGGGAAGAGGTAAATAAATGTAAAAAGAAAAGAAAGCATTAAATGCATTTATTGAGACATAATGGGACTTATGAAAACAAAAATGTTTTAACTTGTTGCTCTAACATTTAGAGGGCAGCGCTGAGTAAAGTTTGTTTATTTGACTGTTTTGTTTTTTGCATATATTTATCACTCACATGAAGAACATGTGGCTTTGCTTAGTTCTAATTCTGCACAACTGTAGACACTGGTGTGAGTGTGTGCACAGTACTGATTTGACAGTACACCAGTGTTAGCTACTAAGTAAACATAGCCATTGAGTAAAGTGGCTAATCAGCCACTTTGGCCACTTTAGGCCTGTATTGTAATACAATAATACCATCAATCAATTATTTGTATAACAGTTAATCATCAGCACAAAAATTCCTGATCATGACAGTCCTAAGTGCTATAACAACTAGAATCATGTAACTCGTGATTGCTTACTGCTGAAACAGACTTTGCACAGGCCTTACAAAAGCAATTTTACTATAAACAACCAGCAGGGAATGTGACAATGCTTTTTAGTGTAATAAGAAAGGTGTTTTCTTTAGGTTTGTGCTTGGGCCCTGTCTGCTCTCATACCTGCCTGCCCTGCTGTCCTGTAGGAAACTACCTACTTCTCTCTGCATTATGCAAATTCTTCATGCTGAGGTTTGAGGTTCTCACTTCTGTTTGCAGCCTGTGGTCTCATGGGTGTTGGATTCTCAGAGGTATGTTATAGTGGCATGAAGATGATATTACAGGTCATAAACTGACAAACCACACCAGAGCTTCTTCACGGTGTTTTGGGGACTTTAAATGCTCGTTAAATCTTTCCGTTTGCTGTTCCATTCACTCTTATGATGCAGGAAAGTCCCAAACGAGCCCAGGTAAATTAAAGCCCTTAGCTGAGTGAGACCCTGGACTGAGGCAGTGTTAGAGAGTGAGTGGGAGTGAAAAGACCAGAGGGGTGGATCTCAACTGGACAGATTTTGCCCTTCGATAGGCCATTATGGCAAAGAATGGACATTCTTTTGGAACAGGTTAAAATGGCAACAGGTTATAGCGGATTAAATGTCAAACGTTTAATAAGCTGAGGAGAGCCTTAAAAGGGGAAAGGGGTAAAGAGGAGTGGAGGCTGTGCTTTCTCGATAATATGTGAGAATTTGCCTTTTGCTGTCACCAGGCATATGAGTCCAGAGAGAGGGAGAAAAGAGGAAGAGAGAGGGAGAAACAGAGAGAGAAAGACTGATAGTCACAGGCAGATGGACAGGCAGGCTGAGAAAGAGAAAGGCAGGAGAAAAACAGAGAGATAGGAAGAGAGAATTCCATAAACAGATACAGCAAAATGAACAAGAGACAGAGAAAGAAAGAATGATATAAGCAGTGGAGGGAAATGAGCAAGAAAGACGGATAGAGAAAGAGACAGAAAAACAGACAGAGGAGAGAGAAAGAACAGAGAGATGGTGGAAGACAGAGAGGCAGAAAAGGGAACAGAGAGGGAAGGAAAGAGCGAGAACGAAAAAAACAAATAACGAGAGAGAGAGAGCGATGTACTGTTCTGATCCGCTGACCCTTTGAGAATACAGGAAGGACTCGAGGCGGAGAGCAGAGAGGTTTCCCGATAACAGCTGAGGGGAGATCCCCGCCTGCCCGCTTCCTACCGCCGCATACCGGCGATAAGGCGAGACCAAACACTTTAGAGAAAGAACTACAGAGAGCCGAAAAGCCTCTCTTGCACTACATGTTGCGTTGCATTCAGAGCGAACGAAACCGTGAGCGTGATCTACAGGACAAACGCTAAACTAACACAACACAGCACAAACTGCAGGGGGAACGAGTGATATCTGGTCAGATCCAGCTGCAGCGTTGACTAATCACAAAAAGCAGCCCACCTCAGACGGACTGGGGCGTAGCAGCGAGAGTAACCTCCGAATGCTCTGTGGGTGATGACTTAGTCTCGACATGCCTCCGGGAGTCACAGTGATTTCACTACTTTCCTCATACAGGCAGGGAGTCAGCTGGTTATGAACTTGATGACCGCTGGTCAAATTGGGCGAGCAGCCTACAGTTCTCTGCTCAATCTGCTGATAGAACCATCATATTCAATAGATCACAGTAGAACGGATAGAACTGCGGCTGTATGTATTCTAGCGCGGTGTGAGCTACAGCTGATAGCATGGTGGTTTCGCTTTGTAAGCTCATAGCAACTAAATAATCGTGTGAAAAGGGGAAGCCCCTAGCGTGCGTGTGTGTGTGTGTTTGTACGAGAGAGACAGAGCGAGAAAAAGAGAGAAGCTGACTTCAGATTAATCGAGGACATCTCAACGTGTGCAGTGTTTTCAATCTTGTCTCATTCTATACTGAGCACTGAGCATTAGCCTCTAGCAAAGCGGTGTACTTTCTTATGCACGTGCGTCACATTCGCGATCAAAGCTAGAACAGCTTTGTGAGAATGAGACAAGTTTTTTTTTAGTTTTTTTGTAACATTGAGTTTTCACTAGATTAGTGAACGTCTACTGTTAAACTCTTTGCGTGACTTAGTTCTGAGTGCTCCAGTAACTAAAAGAGTCCATAAGACTGAAAAAAGGAAGCTTGTAGTGTCAGTTCGGTCGTTTTTTCTTCTTTATTTTATCAAACAGCAGCTGTAACACAGACTCAATGCCATGGGCTGTCCTGGACAGCTGCTGCTGTGTGGACGGGTAGGAGTGTGTTAAGATGCCGGCGGGCTGACTGAGAGCGAGAGTTTTCTGACCATGACCATGAGCGGTGACCGCACCGAGCCGTCTGCGCCGCTCGACCTGCGGACCAAAGGCAGAGAGCGCGTTGGCGGCGGCGGCGGCGGCGGCGGCGGAGGCAGTCGAGGGGAGGCGGACAGCAGCCTGAGAAGCTCCCCTGCAGCGTCCCCCGCCGTCAGAGCGGACAGCGGCGCGCAGGGGGGCATCGAGCCCTCCCCAACGAAATGCGCCAGTGAGCCAGCGAAGCCATCTGCCTTCAAACTTCCGATAAGAAAACGGCCCTTACCGGTGGACTCAACAGCCGCTGATCACTCGGAGGCAGAGCCGCAGACAGACTCTACAGGAAGCCCGAGTCCTGTGAAAGTGACCAGGTACAACAGCGCGCACAACGGACTGAGCACAGAGTCGCGGCCGCACCGCATCACGCCGAGTCCGGTGGTGACAGGAGCGCACAGACGCAGCCACGGTCACCAACAGCACAGCGCGCCAGGACACTGTAAGCGAAAGAGTCTGTGTGTGTGTGTGTGTGTGTGTGTGTGTGTTATCATATAACATAACGTATGTGACGAGATGTTGGGTCCATTGAGTGAGTTGAAAGTACCGGTTCGCCTTGAACGTGTTTACAAGTCTTAGAAGGAGACCTGTCATAGACCCAGACTACAGCTGACTTAAGATTAGCATTCATTAACATCAGCATTAAAGTGTTAAGATTAGATTTCTCATACTAGAAAATGTATACAGTTCCATCATTTTCTCCCGTTTATAGTCAAGCTCAGTTCTTAGCATTTGTGCTGGTCAGTTTTTCTGTTATTGATACTGTAGCTCTCCAACAGCTCTTATGGAATGCACACTAGGTTCACTCAAAGTTTTGTATCTCCATTGGCCAAGTGGTCAATCTGAGAATCTGGTGGCTAGTTTCATTGTTCGGTTTATTCATTATGAATCTCTATCTCTCTCTCTTTCTCTCTCTCTGTCTCTCTCTCTCTCTATCTCTCTCTCTCTCTCTCCCTCCCCCCATCTGTGTGTGTGTGTGTGTGTGTGTGTGTGTGTGTGTGTGTGTGTGTGTGTCGCAAACAGAAGATTGCGCAGTCATGGTCAGTCCAGCCAGTATAGTTTGTCATTGTGAAACTTTCAGCCAATCAACAGGAAGTTATGAGGTTTGCTTAGTAGTCTCTTGCAAAACATGTCAGTGGGTCAGCACATGCGTCTGAGCTGCGACCCACAGTTGCGGATGAGTCCACAAGGCTATTTATAACTAGGAAATAATATGATCTGAGAACATGTCATTTATCATATTAGCTGATAGAAAGTAAATTTTTTTACCCAGGTTTTTAGTCTGGGCCATTGTTCTTAATCATTTCAGAAACATCCAGCTCTATTGTACTTCAGTGGTCTACGCATGTTAAATATGACTATAATCTCCTTTATCATTGTCTTAAATGCTGTTGTTGTGAATACTCTATATGTAAAACTGAGTTTATCCAGATCATCACACAGTGCTGGTGATTTGATATAGACTGTAGAAGTTAGCTATATTTGGCATATATTTGTTTAATTTATTGGTTATTTTCTTTAGGTATCGTCACAGAATATGCGTGCTTCTCATCTTATCCATATGCGAGTGTACCCCTTTATCTCTATGAGGATGCAGATCGGCTGCTGAATGAGGTTGCTTTGGCAACACGCCAGGACGAAGATGGTGACACGTAAGTCATTTGACCGCCAGGAAGTACACTTGTCATTGTTTAATTCAAGTGCTCATAGAGCGTAACACAGCACACACATTTCCTCAATACTTCACCAAGATTGCACTGTACTGATAAAAGCCTTTCAAAAAAGTATCTTGCGTACTATAACTTCCAATCAAGATATATATTTGGAATAAAAACTCTTTGGGTTTTTGGGAATGAGGTATGGGTATGAAAGCCAAAAATGCAGGAACTATGCTGATTCCATGCCTTGACTTCAAGACACCTAGAATCAACGCCAAGTTTATGTAGGCTCGGCTAACATTGTTGTAGTTTTCCTACTTGTATGGCTGCTCTTTCTCTCAAAAAGTGCCTTACTTTTACAGTGAGGGATTATCCCTTCATTGATTTAGATTCCAGTGACACATGTTAAACATGCCATGTTCAGGCTGTTTCTTGAGGAATCTGCCCTGCACATTCTTCATAGCCATCTCACTTCCTGTAAGTAGATTGCCCTGTAGCTCCTATCGGCTCTGATTCATCACACTGACTCTCTCTGACACAAGTGCGGATGAAAAAAATTTATGAATAAGTGAACGAGGTTTAGGACTGCAAGTATGTTAGAATGAAAGCAGACATGTTCTTATGGATTGTGATATTTTGAGGGGAGTAGTATATATGCATCAAAGAGAGAGAGAGAGAGGACGAAAGAGAGAGGCAAAGGGAAACGGGGAGTGACCAAGACATTGGGACAGATTAGCTGACTGGCTGAGCACATGGGATGTTCTCTGTAATTACACTGTATACTCATTTGCTTGTGAATAAGGTGAAATTCAAAAGTGGAGATGGGAGCACAGCAGATCTTATCTTGTGTTCACTCCAAGGGTCACTTTCGAGACTATCATGAGACATTTACGGTGCAAAGGTACACTTTACAAACATACCGTCATCATTTTCTCAACATTAGGCCAATTTTAAGACTGTCTATGAAAGAGAGTGAAGATATGTAGTGAAAAGTGCTAAAGTCACAAGAAGTGAGGATCCAGGAGCTGAGTGATTGAACAACATTTGAGACAAAACTGGAGTGCATATAATGTATTTACTCAGGTTGTATATTAACACAGAATAGCTGATCATCTCTGCACACTCAAAGGAGAAAACCTTTTGAAAAAAAGGTACAGAGCCATATTCTTTATTGCTATAGGCAAATAGTGCTGAGGTTTCATTCTGGTTGTGAAGGGAAAGGTGAATATGCAGGATGATTATGACTGAGTGAAACAATGAAAATGTGTAGTGTAAGAGCATATGAGAGGGGCCAGGCTACAGATGAACACATATAATGCTCTGTCATGCATGGACACACATACCCTTACTGTAAGACCCAAACATCCTCCCACATGATGGCAACTATGAAAGTACTGCTCTTTGTGTGCTCATGTGAGTGAAACTTGGCTTTTCAAAAGTGACACCTGCTGTCATGCAATATTGACAGCCTTTTTTAGTCAACGTGTCCAAAACCTTTTTGTCTAAGTAAGCAAATGAGACCCTGTATGAGTGTACAAATTCACCCTAAAAGGTCCTTGAGAAAGGTCAAGTGCACTTTGCTAAGTTCTAATTTATGTCCTTACAATGCATTGCATATTAAAACGCTTGGCTCTTGTTTCAATACTGGTTTTAACATGCCCTCGTCCACTTGGCCTTGCCGATTCTCCTCGGGGGAATCCCTAACACCATCTGAAGGGCTGTTGCATTAATATATTCACTTAAGTCAGGCCGTGGTCTACAGCTGGTCTAATGTTTATTTAGCATGCAGCTTGCTTTTTCATGCAGTGATTCTATTTCTCTCTGCCCTTGTTTTCTAACAGAACTGTCAGGATATGCTAATTAATCAACACATTTCACAAGCTGGCAAATCTTGTTACTGGTAGAACCGAATTTCCTGGCCTGTATCTCTGTGTTATATCAGTATCTGTCAGAGATCATACTTCAGCAGAAAACAACATTAAGCCACATACATACGTACACACTGACACACACACTCAAGCACACTCGCACACGCACAAACACACAGACACATAAATACGCGCTGTCTCCTCATTCTCTGTAATCTTACGACGTCAATGGGCGTTTCATCCTCTCACCTTGTTTTTTTCTCAGCGCTTAACAGACCCTCACTTTCGGGAAAGCCAGTGAGAGCGTGCAAGTCTGCGGTTGACTCAGGTGTCTTTCTCTCTCTCTCTCTACGTTCTTCTCTTTTTTTCAGCCCTTTTTAAATGAATGAGCTCGAAAACCCAAACATCCGCTCCCCACTTCCTCTTTCACCGCTTTCTCCCCCATCTCTCTCTCTCTCTCTCTCTCTCTCTCTCTCTCTCTCTCTCTCGCTTGCTCTCTTGCTCTCTTTCTCTCTCCTTGACAATGTCTGTATACATATATATATATATATATATATATATATATATATATATATATATATATATAAATAAATATATATATATATATATATATATATATATATATATATATATATATATGTCTTTCATAAATGCCTCCCTTTTTTTAATGGCTGCAATGAAGTTGAATTATTTTTTTATTTTATGTTCTACTGTTGTTGTAACTTCTTTCTAAGCCCTTGAATAACAAAACAATTTGTACTCATACAAGATGGGTACAAATATCTGTGTAGTGTACGCTTTCGTCCTTCATTGTATTGATTCTTTCATCCTCTCTTTATATAACCCTCTCTTTCCCAACATAAGTGGGAGAGTAAGTGCTAAATGCATTCATTGGTCACTCTAGGGCCATTGATGTGTATTTCTGTGAGAAGGGTTAGAGTAGTAGGCTCAGTGGGTCCTTATCTCAGTCCTTAGGTGGAATTCAGGGATGCTGACCTAGTACCAGAAGTTCAAGTGTGTTTCCTTTGACCATTTTGACCATTGTCATTGTGTCCTTAAGTAAGATGTTGAACCCCAAGCTGTTTAGCACAGTGCAACATCGCTAATCACTAAGGCATGACAGGTTTTGAAAAAAGCAAGTGGAGCTCAGTGGACCTATCTTGTCTCCGTAAGTAGTACTTATATAAGAAATGAAATAAATGCATACACTGGAAAAATGCTGTAAGATTTACAGTAAGTTGCTTGCAGCATGATTTACAAGTATTGTAGATATACAGTACTGTGCTATAAGACTATAAGTAATTTTACTGCAATTTTCAAACAATAAAATCACATAACTAGTGTGAAGAGCAGTATGCTGTAGTATGTCTACAGTAACACTGGACATTTTTTACAGCTAAAGAATACAAAAAGTGGTAAACTAGAGTAAACTAGATGCATAATCAAATTCTAATAATTGCTGTAAAAGTTAGTGTAGTTGCCAGTACTTTACTGTACACAAGTACAGGTGATTCTTACTCACGGGTACACTTACATCAGGGCCTGCTACAGTAAGGAGCACAGGCATTGCTGACCTCAATTCATGGGGACGTAGATAACCTCACTCTGTAGATAAATATAGCACAACTCACTGCAAAAAAACTATTGGTTTATTGACTCCACTTCTTATATCTATATACAATGTCAAATCTATGCTAATCTACTATTATCTAATATTGAACCCAGTTCATTTAAATTTTATATACGTTACATTTTCATTTCTATACGTTACATTTTCATTTTCAAATGCAATAACAAACCCTAATGTAAGAAAGCAGCATGTTATTGTAAACATTTACTGTAAAAATACACTAACTGTTTACAGTTATCACCTGTCTTCAAAAACTAAGTTCAGGAGATTAAGTGCTTAACATGGCAAACTATCTTTCAATTATTAATCTTAAGAGATATTATTATGAAAAAAAATATGCAAGTTATGTAGTAAAAAGGAATTTACATGCGAACCCACATATAGGCCCTTAAGAATCCACTTTATGCCACTGTAAAACGAAGTCTTCCAACACCTTGGGTCCTAGATGGCCCAGAAGATAGCAGAGAAGAAGTACCATTACATAAATGTATTGATTTTAGCAAATATTGTAGGATCTTATTCTCTTCTAATCTCACTTGTTATAGTTCACATAGTACATTTAAGACTTACTGCGGGTTGTTTTGTAACCCTGCAATGCACTGTAGCTGCTCTAAACATCCATACTACAGCACTTGGGCATTCGGTAAGCCCAAGAAAACAACTTCATTTACATGTAGCAGGTTGCAACATTCATCAGGGGCCAGATGCACATCGTCGTTTGATGTTGCTGATGTGTGACTGACGTACGAGCGGGATGTTTTGCTTGAATAAGAATGAGTTTAAGGGTCAGATGGTAGCCAGAAGTACCACAGTTCTTCAAAGCTGTTTTTTCATAGCACCCTTGTGGTTTTGAGTCCAGTTATTAATTTTTTTTTTTTCATTTTAAGCCATTTCTCAGCAGGCAGGGTGCAGATCAAAAGAAAAGTCACCAATACCCCAACCACTGAGCCATATTATAGATGCAGTACTTGCATCACTGTAGTGAAGGTGTGATTGCAACAGAAACTGCAGTTTTGTGCATAACTGATTCTAACCCTCGCTTTTTAGATTGATACTGATTGAAGCATGATGAAGCTATGTGTAAATAAATGTTAATGCAATCAGTTTGTTTAAGGGTTTAACCAAGGCTCCCATTAATCATGCCTGCAAGCTGGAAAATATTTTACAAGAACGTTCCCTTGACGCTTTTCCATTCCTTAAGTACTGTTCTGTCTCAAAAACTCATCACAATTATTTTAAAAATGTTCAGAAAAGGAATCACAATCTGCATTTGCTTAGTTGAATAAATTGCCTGTCTGAATATTTAGCCAATGCTGCCATGAATCATGCATGAAACCTGCAAAATATGCACCAACAATTGTCCCTTGATGCTGTCCCCAGTCTTCTTTACTGTCTTGTTTCCGTAAGGACCATCTCCCTCAGCTGTCAGGTTGGTTTCTGGTAAACAGTGGCATACAGTGCTTGTCTCAGGGCTTTTTGTGCCATATTTCAGCTTC